ATCGGCGCTGTACTCCACGCGAGGCCGGAATTGTGCTTTATAAAGCAAAAGTCTTTATTCAGGCGTGAAGTACCGCTTCGCTCTGTTGAGGACTCCCAGCATTTTGGACGCCAACTTGACTTTGCCTTCCAAATGACTCCGAAATTACTGTACAACTGTACTCGCTGTACTTATCCTTACATTACAGGGCTGCTGAGAGTTCAATTTTTTTTCCTTTTGAGGACGAGCACTCTAAAACAGATTTATTTATTTGATTCAATCTCTTGCGGGCGCCGCTCCCGTCTCTAGACCAGGACGCCAGTTTCAGTTCCTTCTAAAGCTTTGCTTTAGGACACTGTTGCGGCGTTGGACCTGGGGTCAGTCATTGCATTTTTCGCTTACGGTAAAGAATGCACATTTCATCACATGTCACAATTCGATCCAATATTCATTTCTATATCGATTCAACCCGGCCACATAAGTTTCAACACGCGTTTCTTTCTGCAGATCAGTCATTTATTTTATTTTATTGATTTGACGCAAATGAGTCAATATTGTTCGTAAGGTAACGTTAAGCCATGTCGCTAATTCCTGGGTAGTTTGGCTCGGATCGGCTTCCACCATCTCTTTCAATTCATTGTTATTCACATGTGTGGGCGGTCTTCCACGTGGGTCATTCTTCAAATCAAAGTTTCCATCGCGAAAGCGTTTAAACCAAAATCGCACGATGCGGTCATTAGCAGTTCCATCTCCAAACAGAACATTGATATTGAGAGTATTTGCGAGCTGTTGCTATGCGACTATGACAGGAGTATCTAATACTTCTAATAGTAACAATCAGCTTAAACTCCATTACCTTGGCAGAGGGAAAAAGCAGATGACGAAGGTGTTGGGTATTTCGCATCGTAATAGCGTACGGAACTGAAGCTTTCGCCCCATGATCCGCAAGCGAAGTAATCTGTCCCTTCATAACAAGGTGACACTCAAATCGCATACGTTCTCTCATGACTTATGCAAGTGTAATGTTAGCAAATTCTCTCAGGTTGAGCCCGTGAGCTCACCTACCCGTCCGGGCGTAGCTAGAACAGCCTCTTAGGCTACCAGCACAAAAAAAAAAGAAGTTTTCGTCTCTGACATTATGGACGAAGATATCAGGACAAAAACATGATGTGCACCCATCGTATTGCTGCATCTTTACCAGCGCGGTGGTAATTTTTCAATAGCCTTTTTGAAGAAGTCAGTAATACGGGAGGCAACAAAATCTTCAAGTGCATTTTATTCTTACCTTACGGATTTTGAATTTTTCCCTACCAAACAGTTGTCTAAACTTTGTAAAGTAAAAAGAACACAAGTTCTGCCGAGTATAGTTGATGACGCAAAACTTCCAACCCTATCAGTTGCAGCTTAGAGACCGTCTGTAATGCCGTATGAGGTCCAGCGTTGTCGTGTAGGAGCAGTGGGGACAGGTAATTAACCAAGGCTGGTCGGGGATTCACGAGTTTCTCCATCATTATATCCCGTTCCTTACAGCACACGCACGCAGTAGTGCCGATGCTATCTGGCAAGATGCTGTGGTTAATAATACGGACGGTATTAAGACTAGGGCCACCAAACAGTGACCATTACTTCTTAGGGGTAAGTTTTCGTTTGGGCATTGCCTAGGTGCTAAACCAGGGTCTTACCAACATGAACACCGCTTACGATTCTCAAAAAGTGTCTATTAAACAAGGCTTGAAAAAATAATAAAAGTTAAAAAATATATTATCTCTTCAAGCAGTTACAATTTAGAAAAATAAAATATTGTTTTAACTAATTTATAGTTAGTACGATAGTATAATTAAACTAGATTAAAGTAAATTCAAAAAAGCAAAGATTCGTCATTTCCAACATGATGATTATGTGAGGCCTATAAAATCAAAGGCAGCTAAACGCCTTAATGTCGTAAAATGGATTACAATGGCGCTATCTTGTTTAGTTAGTTGAACACGATTTTCATGTTATAACAAATGCAGCAAAATCTCTAACAAAGGACAATGCCCAGATAGTCTAGTCAACAAGTTCAAAAACGTGTTAAATAGACATAAAGCTCCTAAAAATATGTACGATAGCTCATTGGATGTGGAATGATGTCTACAAAAATGTTTTTTAAGGGCTTATTAGCACATAAAAAATTGCGATTGTTATAAACAAAATAAGATTTAAAAAAAAAGGAATTTGGTTTTTCCTTAATAATTTCTAAAATAATGATATTTAAGGAATTTTGAAAAAAGATCCTGAAAGAGGAGGAAATTTCCAATAAAAAAGTCCCAACTCCCGGAATTCTATCACTATTATTTATAAAAATAATTAACGCTGAAAATAGCGCTCCGCGAGGTCGCTACGGCATAGGCGCGCCGTCTAAAAAGCCGGTATATCACCTAAAATATTTTTTTTATAGTATTAAATAACAATTTAAAAATTTGAATAAATTATGGTGTAATCTAAACACTTGAACGAAAAAAACCTCGGTGAAAAAAATATTTTATATCGATTTTTCAAAAATTTACACCATTGNCATTTCTACCACCTGGCATTGTTTTCCAAAAAAATAAATTACATTGATAACATCCCAAAACTATCCATGCCATAGTTTTTAAATTCGCCAATAGGCAAAGGGCTTAGCCCATACAGCCTTATAGCAAACCTATATGCTGTCAAACGAAAGAGTTGTTTGTGACTTGAACAACAAATAATAAAAAAAAGCTAATGCTTATAATTCAAAGGTTTCTTAGTTTATTTTTGTTCAATTCAATATTTATATATTGTAATAATAATTATTACTTAAAATCATGAATTATTTTTAGATATTAATGATTCCATTAGTAAAAATATCAATGGCCTACCATTACTCTATTCTTATTATATATGATCAGAGAATTTTGGCAGCAACCCGAGTGAAGCGTCACTTGAATTTTTATTTTAATGTTTTTTAATAGTTTATTGTGTAATTTGTATTATTTGTATTTGTAATATTGTGTATAAAAGGTCTGCGTAAACTCATGCTCAGTCAATGTGGTATTCGTCGAGTTGACGTCAAAACTCCCAAAAAGCAAGAAAAAGAGATACACCGGCTTTTTATTGACATAAAAAATATATACCTTCGACAGACTAGGCTGTGTAGGCTACGCTCTTTGCCTGCTTATTGGTGAATTTAAAAACAACAACAACAATATCGTTGCCGGCTTCCGGATTTTCATTTCATTTTATTATTATTATGAGGATATAATAATAATAAAACGTACGTAAGGGCTTATTTCTAGCAACTTAATTTTAGCTGCAGAAAAAAACAGATTTCTCTGAAACCTAGGTGAGAATATAAAAATCGTTTTCTGAATATGAAACGATATTTCTTTGTCTATCAAATTAAGTTAAAACCATCATGACAGGACAACTTCTTTTAGGGGCCCAAACGCCCATACAAAATGGGCATTGTCCTTTAGTTCAAAAATGACATTTTTACTCTGTACTAAGTACTAATAAACAAAGTGTTATCATTTAAAATTCAGATTATTATTAATATTCTCATTCTTTATAAATCTGCTTTAAAATAAAGAATATCGTAGCTATCCGAACAAAGTTATTTCAGCTTCTCGAACCGGGAGTGTTGCTAACACTGGCCCTATCAAGAGCAGTACTTCGATGGATCGGGAGGATCCGTAATGACGTGTTTAGGGCCGATTTTTGTAGTTTACCTGAATATTTGACAGACTTGGATTTAGCTGCCTTTCATTTTATAGGCCTCATGTGTTAAAATAATTCTCATAATCAATCTTTGCTAGAGAAGAAATTCAACGACAGCAATTTAGTGAAGAAGGTCGTTGGTTCAAGGCGTCCAAAATAATTAGCTCATCATCAACTTCGTCGGACACCCCGGCTCGGCGGAAGGGCAAGTATCCGGCACTAGCCGATAAGCCTGTTATACCTTCTCCTTCGCTAGGCAGCACGGGCGAGCAACAAACCCGAGACTCGTCTAATTCAAACAAAGGGCTTGTTTCTTTTTACTAAAGGTTACTAAAATTTCACCACAACACAGACGACCACCACAGAGTACGAAACGATTTGCAGGTTAGCCGTCGGAGCTCCGTGGTTCGTGAGGAACGTTGACCTACACGACGACTTGGGAATCAATCCGGAAATACATGAAATCAGCGTCGGAACGGTACTTCGATAAGCCTGTGCGTCATGATCTTAATCGCCTTATCGTTGCCGCCACTGACTACTCCCCGAATCCTGATCACGCAGGAGCTAGTCACCGTCGACGCCCTAGACACGTCCTTACAATCAGATCCAATCACTTTTGCATTAGACGCCTTCAGCTCCAACACTAGGAGCAGGCTCAGGGACTCCGGTAACCGTACTCGTCGAACTCGACAAAGAGGTCGACGTGCAACCTGACCCATGCATCAGCCCGCTGAGATTCCGACCCGGTAGTAGATTCATTCGCTAAGCAATTAGTATTGAGTTGTTAGGTATCCTTCGGAGACGCTCGGGCAGCTGTTTGCAAATTCCTTCCCCTCCTGGCTGAACCTTTGCTCGCCCACCTGTCTGGTGGAACTGGAAAGCCCTCCGGGCCACCAGTAATCAATTAATCATAAAAAAGCACGAAACGACTGAATACTACAAAGTACGACGCAAAATGCAAACTACATATAACTTGTAATCAGTTTAATACTTTAACTACTATTGAATACTAATTATATTTTAACTAATATTTACTTAATTTAAATAGTTAGTTAATAGTAAGTAATAGTAAGTAAGGTGTAGTATGTAAGGTTAGTAATGTAGTAAAATAGTAAGTAAGGTTAATAGTAAGTAAGGTGTTTTCTTAATGCTAAAACAGGCAGGTCGAAAAGTAGAGGGAAAAACTAAGATTTTTTTATTATCCGGGGCGTTTTACTCATTAGCGTCATGAACAGACCACAACGGGCGCGCGAGTGGACCGATTCCGACCGGAAACGTTACGGAAATAAATAACAAGAACATCATCAGAGCACTAGTTTATTGTCCCTGGGCCTGGAGGCCTTCAGTGTCCTGTAGGCGGCCACGGCCTCGCGCCGCGCGGCGCCCGCCAGCAGCCCGCTCAGCAGCAGCGCGCGCCCGCCCGCCTGGAAACAACCAGTGTACAGCCGGCATACTCTCTGTGAGCATGGAGCACAATAGTAGCATGATGCACAGTAGTAGTTCTAGAAACAGTTCCATACATTGGGTGCGGGGCCGAGCCTCCCGTGGCGGCGCAGCGCGGGCGGCGCGTGGGCGAGCTCGCCGAACGGCACGTGCTCGTACACCACCTCGCACTTCTCGCTCGCCGCCTGAAAATTCAACAAATTAATATCAAAATTGGTTCTTGACCTTTGGTCCTTTTAAGCTATTGCACAGATTTTATCGCGGGCCTTGAGCTAGCGATATTCCGATACTAGTAAATACGAGTAGGTACTCGATACTTTTGATTCGATACCAAGTACTTATAGCATCGAATCAATCTTGCGATACATACTCGGTATCGAAACAAAAGTACTTGGTATCAAATCGAATCGGCATTACCATTAAAAAGTTTAAAATTTCCGAACGCATCATACAGAACGAGAGAGCAAAAGCCTTCTCGCTCGGTTACCGGTATTCATCCATAACGTGGTGGCGACGACGCGGCGTGGGTGACGCGTCATGTCTCACTCTCGCGCCATGCGAGTGCCTTTTTTCCAAAGTCGGTGCAACAATGTCTCAAACAAGGAACAGATTGTCCCCAAAATATCTCGAACAGTTACTGTTTTTGGGCAATCTTGATGCCAAAGAGTTTTTTGTTTAAAGTAGGCACTTAAAGTGACGCAAAACTTTTATAGGTAATAAAATATTTTTTTCCTTCTCAATTTTGTTTTAATTATTGTCCTTCAACGTTAATTGTTTTTACATGAGTTTCCTCAGAAAAAAAAGTGCTAAAAGTATCGATATCAGTAAGTATCGATACTTTAGGAGTATTCATATAAGTAGTATCGAAAAAAGATTTGAGTACTATCGAAATGAGTAGGTATCGATACTTTGATAGTATCGGAACATCCCTACCTTGAGCGCGGCTTAAGAGCGGAATCGTGTAATTCCGTAACGAAAAAAACCTTGCACCCTCACTACACCTACTATGTGGCTCGCCTTCAACACATTCACACGTTGCACTTGTGTAGTGTTTAAAGTAAGAAGTCTAAACACAATTTATGTACTATCAAAATATGTGATATAATTTCGTGGGTAACACAACGATAGCGCGATTCAGCTTTTGCGTCAAGCGACATCTATCGGCGACAAACGCATTGTAAAATAGAAAATTATATCACATTACAATGCGTTGGGCGTGCCATTTTCTATCGCTTAGTCGATGAATTTTATTACTAATCCTACTACTCATTCAGTGATTGGAGTGGCATTAAAAATAAACTAGCTAAACCGTTGATTCTGGGCGAATGAGAGTTAGAACTAGCATCCAAAGCCGTGTCTCTATCCCATGTAGCGCCCTCTAGTGAGTGCGCGGTCAAAATGGAATACTCACAATGTAGCAGATTCATTGAAAGTTAGCCCACTGAGTTTCTTGCTGGATCTTATTTTATTGTTGTTTTAACATTAAATTATTATTGTCGATTTATAATCGCATAAGTTGATAAAAAATGCTATGCAATACCTTTACCGCGGCAGTCTCCGAGTGCCACACGTCTTTTTTCTATTTTATCAAGACATCTTATATATGAGTTTACAGGTTCATCCTTAGTTAGTTACAATATTTAAAAACAACTATAGCTTTTGTTACAATTTTCATAACTACCTTTTTCTTTAATGAGAACTAAGACTGCGAACTCTGCACCCCCTTTAATACCACATAAACACTAGATAGGCAATGAGCTTGTTCATCTGTCACAGAAAAAAAAATACAATTTGAATATTCTTACATCTAATGCTTTCATCTTTTTTTCTTTTTTCTTCTGTGCTAGCCTTTGGTTCCGGTTTAGTTGTGGTTCCGAGTCTTCTTGCCCTTTCTTTGCCTTTTTACGTTTACGTGCCCTGCGTTCCCTCTGTGCCGCCATCCTCTCCCCTTTTGTATCTTCTGTATCTATGTCTTCCTGTTAAAGAAAAATATTTCTATTATTTAAATGTGTATTATAATGTGAAAATGTATTACTGAAAGTAACCTACAACAAAATTGGCACATAATATAGTTTTTTGGGTATTAAATAATTAAATTCAGAAGATTAAATAAAGCGACGGTCCCTACATATAAAGAGTCATGTCCAAAATCACGTTTTATTATTATTTCATAAAGATTTTCTATTGGTCAATGCGCATATTACCATATTATCATATATATTTGTAAGATCAAATTCAAACTAACATTACTTTAAGTAATTTGATGTTTTGTTTGAAAGTTTTAACACATTACTTAAGTTCTTAAAAGTATTCTTAAAATTTTTCTTTATGTTTATTCATAACAGATATTACATACTTAAGGAAGTCAAACAACATTAAAGTAGATTTCAGTTACCAGATTACACAAATTAGTTGTTATTAATGTTAAAAATATTCACTCAACACAAATCATCTTATACTCTATACAATCCATATACTTACAGGATAGTCTAGATTTTCAACTGGGTTGTGTAAAGCTTTCAATGCACTGTTGATCCTCAGTGAGAAGTCCCGTCCACTCTCTCCTGGTAACTTCTTCATACATGTTATGGGGTTGCGTCCAACTGAACTTTTGTTTCTACTCCTGTGTTCTATAATTAAAACAAATGGCTGGAGATACCAAAATGTTAACTTATGGTTTGTTTTTAGTATTTTCAGAATAAAAATTAATATTCTCAAAAAAAAAATTTTTATTTTTTTTGCAAGATTTTAGCAATAATTTCTGAAGTCAGAGAATTCTAATAATAAATTTTAATATTATGTCTTGGCTCTTGAGAATGTTACTGATTCTGGTGTCCAAAGCTATTGCTACTAATAACCTGTTACCAAACCAGAAACAGTATGTTCAGCTATTTAAGTAATCCCAATTTTTTTATGTTAAACAAATGACATGTCCCAGAACCCTTTATATGTACCATAATGCTGTCTATTTTGGCTTGGAGCAATCATGTGTTCCAGTATTAAGGTAAAGGTTTCAAAACTTGTACTACTATGTAATATTGGAATTGTGACAGAATCAACATACTGAGTTTTATGCCAGATCTTCTCAGTAGGTCATGGTTCCGATCCAGTGGTACATTCAACATAGCACTGCTTTTGCTAAGGAAATGTTAGGAAGTCTCCAAGGATGAGCTTCATGAGCTCACTAAAATGTTTTTACAGGTTATTAACAGCAGATAGGAAAAGATAAATACAAAATCTTCTCTTCAAAACCAAAAAAATAGTAGTTATTCGCATTATGCCGACTATATAGTTCAGTACCAGGTGGGTTATTAGCTCATGTTCCCATCACAACGGAATGGCTAGCTTTTGTTCATTACAAATTTCAATATGATATTACCAGATAATTCAATATAATTTTACAAATCACATTTAATTTCATGGCTCAACATGATTTGTATTTTTATGTGAATATAAAATCATAGATCAGTTGCTACCTGCATTTTGATCGAGTCTCTTGACTTTATTTTTCTTGTTTCGTTTTCCAACTTCACGGTTTTCTTGAAAAGAAAAAAGCCTAGTTAGAGATCGTGGCACGGGCTGGTCATCAGGATCTTTCGGTGGTGCGTTAATTTTAGATTTTAAGCTGTGAATTTTTTTTAAATTTAATTTTATTTTGTGTGTGCAAACGTACCTAATAATTTTAGGTTAAAATATACATTTTATAATAACCTTTGTTCCCGCCGGGCCTGTTGCACTAAGGGATCTTTCACTCCTCGATGTTTTTTGGCAGGTATTTTACGACCCATTTTTAATTACAAAAATTACTCTCATTCAGACACTTATCCCTAAACATGGAAATCATCTTTTTTAAGGGATTTTATGACGTGGTAACGAAGACCTTTAGGTCATGTCTTATTTTAATTTATATTCTTTTGTGAAAAATTATAACATGGAGTGAAATGAAATGAAATGAAGATGATTAATTTGAGACATTAATCAACTAGGATGAAATTAAATGTAGTGAGATGAGATGATATGGGATGAAATATCATCTCAGTAAAATGGTGGTGATTTACTGATACTTTTTCAGTGGACTTTTTGTAAGATCCCGAGAAGTTACATCCAGCGGCTTTATTTTATTTTCCCACATATGTGCACTTATCAGATACTAAATAGTTAATAAACCACCGCTATTACGCATTTAAACCTTAAGAAACACTAAATAGACAAAATAAATAAATCACACAACTTCACTTCTCGCGTTCCCGCCAAAAAGTCAAATATTTAAAATATTTACTACCATAGATATTTTTTTTGGTACAATTATACTACCATAGATAATACACTTAATTTAAAAGATATTTTATACGTAGCAGGTGCAACAGCTCTTTTTCACCTAGTTCCAATGGTTTCTTTTTGGGGCTAGCTAGTGTAGTCTTTTTTTTTTTAAATTATTCCCCTTAGGTAAACTTTCTAATTTCTGCCAGTCAAGTTTGATGCTTTGAAAAAACGCGGTTATCGATATCGATACTTAGTGTTGTTCTTATTTATCGACAGCTCACTCAGAATTAGCGGAATATTAGACGGTTAACTTAAACAGCCCTACAATAAAAAAAAATATATAAATATATTATGTAGATCAAGTGTTCTTTGAATTTAAGTGATGTTTCTTCAGAAGACAATTCTGACTTCTGCTAACAATTCTCACTACAGCCAACTCAAAAGTGGAGATTGCCTGTTTTAAGGCTTTAAGGTTCAGGAATTATTTGTGGACATTTATGAACTGAAATAAAATCATTGACAAGGTGCTACAAATAGCCCATTGCCATTGCTGTCAGAGATAAACGAGAAAACAGTCCAGACGATGGTAAGCTATATATTACCATATTCTATGAAGAATAACTTCATCTATTAGCTCTTAGTCAAGTGACTTTAAGATGGCAGTAGTATCATATTGTATCAAATTGAAAGAAAGCGCCATTTTTTTGATTTTTCGCTTTTTTTTAAAGATACTTTTTTAAACACGTTAAATAAAGTTAGTAATACCTACTCATTTCATTACTCGTATGATATCAAATAATTCGATCAAAAATTAGTTTTATGTACCAAGGTGGATTTATTATTTTTGTAGCTGGCAGCCCGACCCCGAGACGTTTCGCAGCAGTTGAATGTTTTTGTGTAATAAACTATGAAGTTGTGCAGTTTGCGGGAGGGGGCTTGTTTTTAGAAACAAGGTCGTTCTTTGTGTCAAAAAGTAGATATCTCTGAACGAATTAACATTAACAAATTGACTTATTTCAATGAAAGACTGATTTGTGCTCGACTAAAATAAACAGTGTGTATATGTCGTGTTTAATTGTTCCTATTTAGAACACACTGTCCGTTTCCATCGCTCCAATGAGTCTGGGAGGAGTTACAAACACTGAGGGATCGAATGCAGGCGGAATATTCGTTCAGTTTAATCAAGATTGCACGTAAGTAGCCCTGAATATAGTAGAGGAGTTGCGGGAGAATATTATTTGTAGAAGTTTGTTCGAAGGGCGATTAGTGAAGGATGCGTTTGGTAGTCGTTGGATGTCTGGTGGAAGTCCAGCTCAAGGCTCTTGAATGAGGACGGCGTTGTGAAAGGGTCTGTTGCCACAAATTAGCGTATTTTTCGCTAGTGCGATGTATCTATAACGCGATGATGCAATATGTCATTGCCAGCTGTTTCGTAACGCTATCCCGTACAGGCGACCATCGGCGACAAACATGGCGTCTCAGGGTGAAACTGCAGCAATTAAGAAACCCTATATAATTTCATACAATAAAGCATCAGGATTGGTACTAATAGTTCAACTTCTAAACTATTGTTGTGCCATATAGAAAATTGCATTTGTTGCCAAACAATATATTGTTATGTGAATCAGCTGATTGGTATTTTGTCATTATGTATTCAAGTAAATTTTAGTTGTCAAGGTGTCTTCCTCAATGTCAGTCAGCCTTTGTGTGAATCAATTTTATTGAAAATGATCAAATACGAAAAGTAAACAAATCAATTTCAAGGGAAATAATATGCAAATATGTTAGTTATATATTTCTTATTTATGCCCTGTACAGTAAAACAATTTGGGAATCTATATTTTATTAAATCAGTTAAAAACATATGTGGCTATAGTAAATAAACAGATTATCAATTCTGAAAACTCAAGCATATGCAAACATTTTGTTTGTAACAATATCAATATTAAAAACACCTTCTCATTAACAGCTGTACATTGTTTATTGTTGGTTGGTTTGTTTATTTATTTAATGATAAAGGAAAATGCACAAATAGAAGAATTAGGATTGCCATAAATGGCAAAGGCTATGCATTGGTAGAGTTTTAAACCTGCAAACATGTCTTCACAAGTCTATCCTTGATTGCTTTGTCAACATTGGGCTAGTAAGTTTCTAAAGAATGGCAAGATGGTTACATTTGCAGATTAAATGTGCTTGTAATATTCTGACACTGTGTACCTCAATTAAACATTAAACGGAAAACTATTTACTGTTTCAGTGTAAACTAGAATGTCATAATTATGGTAAACAATAAGAGAAAAAAATCAAAATTAACATAAATTTGATCAGTTTTTCAATAAGCGAGTGTAATTTTAAGAACAACACAAACAAATATATTAGACTAACTACTTTAAAGATAAATATTATTTGTTCATACAAATTAACATAAAATTTTTACATGTTTAGAATATACTAAAGTTATTTAGAAGTGTATCATCATAAAGAGGGGACACTATATGGAGCAGTTGAAGTAAAAGTGCTCCAGGGTACCCTCACATACATGCACACTGTAATAAGTCACATAATAATAATTTACGAGTTTAGGTTACTTCAAGGCAACTTTTGTTTAATGCAAAGAATTATGCTGGTAATATTTGTTTCTCTTCAAGCAATACGAATTTTTTTCTTTTTAGCCTTATTCACAGCTTAAAGCCAAAATCATTGTCTTAGCTGTAACAATGTCCCTAAACTGTTTACCTGGCTATTGCTTTGTTATATTAGTCAATGTACAGACAATGTACAGTTACCCTGCTCTCTATTCACTCTATTCAAATAAACAAAGTATTTGTTGCAATTCTCTTCTGTGTATGTATTGTATTTATATGAACTTCCTGACATACACACCCAGTAATTATCGAAAAAATTAAAATATCTTCCTGTATAGTATGAAATTATGAAATTAAATAGATATAAAGATGACAAAATCTTTTATACTTTTATAGGAAGCGTCACAAACAGGAGTCAATTATTGTAGTTATATATAAATATGTCCATCCAGGTCATTGGTGGCGGGCAGCAGCACCGGATATCACTTATTTGCTCTAACTCCTGATGATGGTATCGAAGAAATATATGCGAGTCGCAGCGGACAGGAGACTTGTCTCGTCGACCGTCTCTTCAGCAGCTCGCTGGTGGCTGTTGTCACAGTATCCGCTCCCAGGTATCTAACAACATTTAATATTTTCATAGTCACATCACGGAAACAAACAGTGCTACTGAGGGATGACCCGCCCCAGAGACAATGTGAATGTGTTTTGAACGGTCGCTCAGTGCGCGAGGGCCACCCTCGAGCAGCTTCATGTCGTGAAGCAAGGTGCACACTAAAACCCATAGTGTTCTAAAAATTTGCATGTTTAGATGTCTATTGATCAATCGGGCTAAAGTGAAAAGGTTTTAACGAAATTTCGTACAAAGATAATATATAAACTAAACACATAGGTTGTATTTTTTACCGTCGGACAAAATTCTGCACGGTGAAAGGGGAAAGAATACAGCTTCAAGACAATCGCCCTTTGTATCGACTATGTGTCGAGAGGTGTATCAATAAAACGTTTTGTAGGTGTGGACTGCTGAGGACATTATAAGATTACCAGTTTTACACCGTCAATATTCGGCTCCGTTGTGTATGTACATAGATATATACACATGTACATAAGGGTCGTATGTGGTAATTGATTTGGAGAATTTATCAAACAACAATGCTTAATACATCTCTATAATTTGTCGTTCTATTTTGAATAGCAGAAAGAGGTTGATATGAATCGCTAAATATCTGAACCTAATGTCTCATTTAAGTTTCGGTATTCTATACTGTTTTAAGAAAAAATTGCGGAGGAACTTTGGATAAAAATAAGCAGCTTCATACTTCACGATACACTACATACTGCTTGATCTACAGTACAGTTGAGATTCATGTAACAAGCTGGGAGGCGACCCTCGCTTTGTGTACTGTATGTGAGGGTCGAGTGCTTCAAGCACTTCAGTGCAGCTAAGATTTAGCGCTGATGCGTTTAGGGCGTTTAGGACATTCCCCTGGTGTTGACCGTGTGCCGTAACTCGTCGCGGCCCTGGACCGACAATCAAATAGCTAACGTTTATATTACAGTCGGTATCATCACCCGACTCCATATCGCACACTTCCTTTCGTCCTTGCGTTATCGCTCGCGTTGATAACTTACAATTGACTTATAAACAATCAATAAAGATCGTAATAAAGTCAATGTCAAGTCAGACTTGCGGGTGATGCTACNGACCGTGTGCCGTAACTCGTCGCGGCCCTGGACCGACAATCAAATAGCTAACGTTTATATTACAGTCGGTATCATCACCCGACTCCATATCGCACACTTCCTTTCGTCCTTGCGTTATCGCTCGCGTTGATAACTTACAATTGACTTATAAACAATCAATAAAGATCGTAATAAAGTCAATGTCAAGTCAGACTTGCGGTTGATGCTACGTGGGTAACAGTTGAAAGTTAACAATCCCTCCGAAGAGGTTATAGATAGTTGTTCAAGATTTTCCAGCTCGGGCGAGCGGGTGTCCAGTACCGCCCGCCCAACAGCTGTTCAACATAATGGCATTGTTTCGAATCGACCTAAATAAATATAATATGAAGACTTCAAATTATTTCAGTAAACGGAATCGCGACGGTTAAAAGCCGCTATCACTCTAATGGCTCGCATCGAGTTTTATTTATACATCGTTATCGCTAGGTACTTAAACGCTTAGAATATTATTTTGTTTAAAATTTGCTACGACCATTAACGCACACACAAAACTTCGGAAACGAAGTAACTCTTAAAAAAATTTGAGGAAAGCAAAAAAAATTGCATATAATACAAATTTGACATAGACATGTTATTAACAACCAGGTTTTTTTTTTTATAGTATATCCCACCCAGTGTTAAGTGGTTACCGGAGCTCATAGACATCTGCAACGTAAATGCCGCCACCCACCTTGAGATATGAGTTCTAAGGTCTCAAGTATAGTTACAACGGCTGCCCCACCCTTCAAACCGAAACGCATTATTACTTTACGGCAGAAATAGGCAGGGTAATGGTACCTACCCGGACCCACAAGACGTCCTACCACCAGTAAAAAAGTAGCTGAGGTAGGCCTATCTCCTTGGACATTTTTTAAGAATACATCGATCAATACAATGCATCTCATTTAATCATATGTCCGACGAATAAAACAATTATTCGTCGAGAATATGTTTATAGGAGCAGGTGACGGTGACCCGAACGTCGCCCAGTCGTGCGCCTCATTCACACGCACGCCTAGTGTAAGACTGCGCAAAAACATAAACACCTCTTTTTTTTTTGGTTCCTACTTAAGCTGAGAGCCTTGAGAGGCTATATCAGCGAAACCTTTACTAGTGGGTGAGCTCACGGGGCTCAAACCTGACGACGTTGCTAACACGAACCCTAGCGCAAGAGCCGTGCTTCGCAGAATCTACCACCGGATCGGAAACGCGACCCACTGAGAAGATCCGGCGAGAAACTCAGTGGGCTGTGTATGAGGGTTAATTAACTCGTCGAACCCCTCGTCGCAAGCCACCGGTTCGACGAGAACGATGACCGGATAAACATCTCAATTTGATGTTATAATGTGTAGTATTGTGGATAGCCCGATCGACTCACTCCCGCCCACTTTATTCGCTCTAATTTACAAACCTATGTGAAACTTGGAATCTCTTGAGTAGTTATAGTACGTAGCATGTAAACGTATCGTAGTTGTCGCTCTCAGCTCGAATATATTCGAGACTTGAACGTGCGCTCCGGCCTTTCATATAATCAATAAAGTACATCATTACCAGTATGTTGTCCCGTCAAATGAGAATTATTATTTCGTACTAATGGTCGTCTTACTCTATTTTTTTCCTTACCTAAGTTGGTTACCTAGGGATTAATGCCAGCGTAACCTGGCGAGAAAATATACTCTTTTGTAAACTATTGGATGCGTTCAATTGTTTACCGACAGCTTCATTAAGTCTGTGCTTCTCGTTTTCTATTAAAACATTGCTTAGTGACCGTGCGCTCCGGAACGAGGTCTACAATCGGCAGTCTGAAGCGTATCGTATGTTTGCGTAAACAAGTTGTTTGTTATCGTTTTATCAGCTGATCCACCGAGCGCGCGGGCGGCGGCCTCACCCCGCACGCGGTTGACGTGACGCTCTCTCATATCGAGGCTGGGTGACGGGAATGTACAAAATTTATCATCTTAATAAAGAACTTCATAATATACTTACAGGATTCAAGTGACGAGCTTCTGAAATCAACCGAGAGACAATTTAATATCGGAGTTAGTCTGTTATGATGCCTATCTAGCATGACAGACCTCTGTTGGGTCAAATTCATTTGAAATCTTCTATTTTGTTACGTAATTGTGGCGTCAATTTTTAAGCTGACCGTGGGCAGCAAGCGGCCTACAACCGACCCAACCATATTGCGTTACTCAGGGCGTGTCCTTACCAAACTGACAACTCGTAACTGTTCACATATCGGATCAAACCACACTTCACTCAAAAGTACATAGCTTAATATATCGCACACGCAGTTTGCGTTTACTTGTGCATATATTATCTAGTACTTCATTGCTGATTACGCTTCAAGATCCGCAACGTTGATGTTCGCTTTTATTACGCCTGCGACAGCTCCACAGTCAATAAATACCCTTAGGGGCTCGGTCTGGAGGCCGATATTCGAGACAGATATTATGAGTTTGTTTCAAATGCACTTGATCTATAAATATTACCGAAACTACTGTTAATATATTTCTCTGAACGTTGACGATATGAATTCGTTTCCAAAGTGAATAAACACAAGTGCGAGTGTCGGTCGGTCGGTCGGCGCGCGGCTGACGTCGCCGCGGCTTGTTTAGCAACAGCTGTGACCTTTGGGTCGGCCGCCAATTCACTCTGTAAACTGCTCTGGTACTTAGAATTAGTTTCGTTTATAAATAAATCCATAAAAAACGTCCCTTGATTTTCTCGAGAGTTTCTCATTTTGTTACAATCTATGTCGATGAAAAGAGTACGTGATTTTCGTGATAATTTGAATCGGAGACATACACACATTCATGTGTACTTACACTTACTTACATATAAATCATTTTTACTTATTGTGTATAAAGTGTTCATCATGAAGTCGATATTCTAAACTGTTACGCCTTGAATGAGTCCTTGATGTATATTTCAATAAATAAATTACAATATTGAAGCTAAGATTCTTCGTCTTTCAATAAAAAAACGAAAATTCCTCAATACTGTGTCTATATTGTAATTTACTGACTATCTAATGTTAAGGTTACATGCGGTTGGAAAGAAGATAAAAATTACTGTACTGCCATAGTTGCACTAATGTAACAACTGTAGGGTCCGAAAATAAGAACGGAAATAAACAAACGGCCCGTGTGTCATCGCCAATTTACTCCAAGACTGCTGTACAACGCAATTCAACGCGTGCAAGGGAACCGCTCGTGAAACCGCTTGTAATTACTGAAGCGATCAAAAATACCTCACCCCTAAATATATTTAACAGATTCTTTTGCTGTGCACCGCACGCCATTTCGTCCTACCTATTCGCTGGTAGCCTAAGGGGCTATTCCAGCTACGCCCGGACGGGTAGGTGAGCTCACGGGCTCAACCTGAGAGAATTGGCTAACACTAGCCCTTGCAAGAGCAGTGCTTCGTGCACCGAATCCGAATCGCGACCCACTGAGAAGATCCGGCGAGTAAATCAGTGGGCTGTGTCTATGGGTTAGTTCGCTCGAGGGCGGTGACGGGTGCTTGAGAGACCTAAAAGCACCGAGTGAATCCGGAGGATCCGACAAGATGTATTTCGGGCGACGACGCCGCGGCAGCTTTGCATTGCCCCGTCACGGTCGGACAAGGCGTTGTAATTAAATAAAAACTCGAAAATTTTCAGTGATGGATCTAGCAACGTCCAGCTGCTTTCGCTGTACATTGCGGACTTCCAAATAATCTTTTGTTTGAAAACCACATCTATTATATTTCTATTTAACGTTACATATTACATTTGTATATTTCCTCTTCAGTTTTAGACGTTACCCGACACAATATGGCAATGCAACGACATGTGTAGTTAGAAAGCATCATAGTAACAGATTAGGCACTCGAAATGCTCTCTATAGTAGTGTATAGTATAGTAGTAGCGTTGACAATATTGTGATTGTATTTATATCGGTACCGGTCGGCACCCGAACCCGGATTATTTCTGGCTTGCAGTCGTTTCGTGCCTTGGACGTGAACTTGGCCGGCTCTCGCGACGGGCGGTGGCCGTCGTACTACTATATACTGTTACTGTTCTTATCGCGTTGCATCTTCATTGAAGACAACCACACGCCGAGAGATCGAGATATCCAAATCATGTGTTGCAAATTTGAGCATTCAAATTTAGTTCGTTAATGTAATATGAGGCAGTGATAAAAGGAGAATTTATTGATTTCTTTCACTAAAAAGATAGTTATGGCTTCTCCCGAGATTAAAAAGATCTAGGCTCAGTAAATAATTTTCATTTTATGACATCACAAGTCAGTAAACAGTTGATTGGCGCGATGTAGTTTGTTTTCATTGAAATATGGCGATCGCAGGCGTTACGTCACGCAAAGGAAACGCTTTGCGTTGTTTTATTTATTTGTGTTGTTAGTTAAATATATGTTCGTGAAACACGTACATATATTTAACAGATTGAGCAGCGAGCAGTGCAGCTTCATCGGCTGGTTAACGTCACACAAAACATTTTTGCGTGTTTCTTTTTTGTTGTTGCGATTTTTGATGCAAATTTTGATTACAATGAACTACCTAGGCTATCTTATAGGGATGCTGAATGGCTCGTAATAAACCAACAAAAGTAATTTTGAACCTACTCGTCGTTTTAGGGCTTTCGACCAGACGAGGGTCATATTTATTGACAAGCTGCTAAGTGTATCTCGGTCGTCTCGCTCTGCGTATCTCGACACCGCTCATGTTGTGTTCTTGACTTTCAACTTGAAATGTTCGGACGTCTAACAGGTTTTAGATTTATAATTCTCTACGTAAATGTTTCCTTTTGTTTTTTATTGAATATCTAAGAAAGTCGATCTATTTTCTAGAGTAAAGGCATAAAATTTAATCACATATATGTATAACCCTTCACGCAAAGTGCAAATTAGACCCATATAAAGTATGAATATTGTCGGCTACTATTTAACACAAGAGGCATTTTATATTTTGATTTATTTTCTACTCGACTTACTAGGTCCCGCGATCCAGTGTCACCTTGTCCCGTGCGGCGGCCCTTATCTAATTTGTGTCCCAAGATCGATATTATACTCCTGACAAATAGTTGTCTCCCTATGTAGTTAAGAAAATATGTACGAAACCTTTGTCCACCAGGTACTTGGTTTGAACCGGCAAATGAACCCCACGTAGGCCCTTTTCGGTCTCTTGACGCCAACAGTATGTCTGTATACCTGCACTGCTATTTTGTAATGTCGAGACATTTCCTTTGTTACAAATCATTGTTTTTTTCCTTGCAACCACTGCTGTCCGGCTCACATACTGGCCTAACGTTTGTCTTTGCTATAAAATGTGGTTTCCGTGACTTCTCCGGTGATAAATTCTGTGAAGCCCTCAGGCGAATTCCCTCAGGTTGAGCTTGTGACCTCACCTACCCGCCCGCGCGTAGTTGGAATAGCCCTTTAGGCTACTAGCCAATGGGTATGGAGAAAATCAGTTGCTTATCTCTGTCTGTCTTTATTTTACAGTACCTATGAACCAGATGTTTGTAAGCAACCTATGTGCATATACGTGTTCGAGTTTAAGTCCACACACACTTGTGTATCAAGTACCTACCAACCTGTTCCAATAAACGAAGGATACCATAATTATTTGAACTGGGCAAGGCGTCTTCAAAGTTTGCTCGACCCAGACCGAAGTCTTTGTCTTAAAAAACGCGGAAGTGTTTATACCTAACTAAGACGTTGTAGAGCGTTGTAGAGATTAGCTTTATAACAAACCGCCTGTAAGTGCTACTTCATGTCGTGATTGTGTATACTGTACTGTATAGGATGTATGATATCATTTCGTTTGTTATCTACATACCGCACTGCTTTATTTTTTATTAAATATTATTTCATATTAACGTCATACTGAATACTTCAGTGATATTGAAACCGTAATACCAGGAATGCAAGTCTGGAGCGCTGTCTATGAAGAAATAATACCGCTAGAGACAGTACAGAACAAAGAATATGCATAAAAACTGAAAGAAAAAAAACTATTATTCTTAAAAATGTCGCGTTCTAATATTGATGGTGTATAGGCGTAGAGGGCTCCGGCTGTTTAATGCGACTTTAAATCTTCGATCAACACAATATTGCCGCGCCGCACCGCGCCGCGCCGGGGCCCCGCGCGCGAACAACTTTAAAGCGTAGTACGGAGCGATTGTTATCTAATGACGTCATCGCGATTCTGACTCACATCTCCCCAACCACCACTGTTTGACCTGCACAACACCTCCGGGTGCCTTCGACAAACACACTGCCCACGGTTCAACGGTATGTGGTCTCGTTAGTAAAAAAATAATAATATGCGTACGTTGTAAATGTGCACTGCGCGTTTAATGTATGTACGACACTTGTATTTAAGTACGTACGTAATCGATAATTTGTTTCCACTGTTCGTTCTGGAGAAAGTCAATGTTATATTCTTGTAGGTACGATAACGACCTGTTATTTTCATTGTTAGTTAATTCGTAAGCGGTACAGATTTGAAGTCATCATGAAATTAAAGAAAAGCCAATTTAACTTTTAATGAAAGGGAAAATTAATAAATCATCTTAATATTTTTTATTTTATTTTTAAAACGAAAAGGTCAATGTAATATTCAAATGTCGTCGAACTAACAAATACCTCAGTCGACCGTGACCATGAAAATTCATTCGAAAAATTCGTCTGAAATTTAAATAGCAATAAAATATAATATACTTGCTCCCGTCCGCGGCTTCACCCGCATATAAACTAACTTTTCCCAATATAAATTTTATCCTAATCCGCTCAACGGATTATTCTTGATTGCTCAAGCCGTTGTTTCCTTTTGACGTGAAAGAAAAATGAAGTCAGAGTTTTTGTAAAGATAATACAATATAACTTTTTGGGGTAATGGGTAGCCTATGCCACTCTCCAGTTTAAAGGGTGGAATACTTTTATACTGTAAAAACGGAGACTTCACAACTCATTACTCGAGGTGGGTTGATATCTATAGGCTTTAGTTACGGCTTAACAGCAGGTGGGCCGTGAGCTCCTCCACCCATCTAAACAATAAAAAATAAAGAACTTAACAATTCATTTTAATTCGTTGTTTGTTTGTTTGTCCACCTCCCGCACGAACCACATGTTCATCTTTTCTATATCATTTCAATTTTACTATGTACTGCACAACAACTTGACGATTGTATCAGGGAAAGGATAAAAATAAAACCCTTTTTAGGCACTCATAACATATGTACCGGTACTATATATTGTAGGTACCTGTATATTGGCTGTTTTGTCTGGTGTCCGTGAGTCACGGATGGAATGTTTATTGAATAACTAAATACAGTAGAGCGTGTGTAACGTCGGCCCGTTGCTGTGTTACAGGAAGCTGATAGTGTGCCACTACAAGAAGGGCACCGAGATCTGCAACTACATCTACAGCAACACCATCCTCGCCGTCAAACTGAACCGCTCGGTAAGTTGCTTGTTACTGGTGTCCGCGTCGCTCGGGAGACGGAAAAAGATGCACAATTTTAAAGCGACCCGTGAATAGGCGTGCACTGCATTGTAGTAATTTTAGCGGCCCGCGTTTATGTATGTTCTGCATCGTAACAGGTTTTGTCCCCGCTTATATAAAAATACCGCTATCGGTTGGTGTAACAATTACCGTTACAAAATTGGCGCCCAACGTGGGGCCAATTTGTGCATCTTTTATTAATGTGTTACAAGATCATTTTAAGAGATTCTTCACAACGATGATAGATATCTCACATTTGAACTGTATCAGCAACTCGGCCCGCATTGATCCGGGGCCGGAGACAGACAATTAGGGAAAATTATATTTCAACTACATTAGTAAGTCATTGCTGTGCGGAATTCAAATAGAAAAATTAATACAGAACAAGAAATACGTCAAGAGCATGTACATATTTGTGTTTCAGAGGTTGATCGTGTGCCTCGAGGAGTCGCTGCACATCCACAACATCCGGGACATGAAGATCCTGCACACGATCCGCGACACGCCGCCCAACCCGCGCGGCCTGTGCGCGCTGTCGCCCTGCGTGGANAAGTCATTGCTGTGCGGAATTCAAATAGAAAAATTAATACAGAACAAGAAATACGTCAAGAGCATGTACATATTTGTGTTTCAGAGGTTGATCGTGTGCCTCGAGGAGTCGCTGCACATCCACAACATCCGGGACATGAAGATCCTGCACACGATCCGCGACACGCCGCCCAACCCGCGCGGCCTGTGCGCGCTGTCGCCCTGCGTGGAGCACTGCTACGTGGCGTACCCCGGCTCCAGCGCGGTGGGCGAGGTGCAGATCTTCGACGCGGTGCACCTCAACGCCAAGTGCGCCATCAGCGCGCACGAGAGCCCCGTGGCGGCGCTGGCCTGGTCCTCCTGCGGGCGGCGCCTGGCCACCGCCTCGGAGCGCGGCACCGTCATCCGCGTGTTCGCCGTGCCCGACCGCACGCGCCTGTTCGAGTTCCGGCGCGGCGTCAAGCGCTGCGTCACCATCGCCTGCCTCGCCTTCAGCAGCTGCGGCCTGTACCTCGCCGCCACCTCCAACACGGAGACCGTGCACGTGTTCAAGCTGCAGGAGGGCGGCGCGGGCGAGGAGGGCGGCGCGGGCGAGACGGCGGGCGCCGCGGCGGCGGGCGAGGCGGACACGTGGCTGGGCTGGCTGTCGGCCGCGGTGTCGGCGGGCGCGGGCTACCTGCCGGCGCACGTGGCCGACGTGCTGGCGCAGGGCCGCGCCTTCGCCGCCGCGCGCCTGCCCGCCACCGGCCACCGCGCCGTCGCCGCCGTCACGAGGTGCGTACCCCCGCGCTCCCCCGCCCGCGCGCTCCCCGTCCCCGCGCACCCCGCCCCCTCACCACGGCCCGCTCGGCTTGCAGAGTGTCGCGCAGTCCGCGGCTGCTGGTGGCCACGTCGGCCGGCGTGCTGTACGTGTACGCGCTGGACGCGGCGGAGGGCGGCGAGTGCGCGCTGCTGCGGCAGCACCGCTTCCTGGCGCCGGAGGAGGCGCCGGGCTCCGCGGACCCGCAAGGTACGTCGTTTCTGTCCGCCTCGCTCGCCTACCTGTGGGGATGATGTTGAACGTATCTCCGGCACTTGTACACTTCGCCGTTCGTTTCTCCGCTGTTGCAATTCATGTGTAGGTACTCGAGACATACTAGACAGATAAGACACTTGCACAGCCCGCTGCAGCTTGTAATAATATTGCAGTAGTTGTGTCCGCGCACCGCGTAGAGCGCGGCGTGCTCACAAGCCGCACGCGACGCCCCTGGACTTGTCTATTCTATGATTAAGTAACTAATGATCTCAAAACCGATTCTCATTACTAGGAATTAAGTTAGTAATTATGTAGTTCAAACATTTGCAGGTAATTAGTCATTTATTAAACACATAAATGTAAGATTTTGGACTTAAAGGCTGATTGACTAAGACTGATATAAATGTTTACATTCGGATGGTGAAAGGTCTCGCGTATATAAGTAAAAGGAATGTTAAATTTTTTCCCAGAATATGTAAGGTAGGCAGTAATAATCGCTAAGACACTCGATAATATCTCTTGTGAGCACTTGTGAGCACTTTGAACATAAGTACTGGGTTCCCAAACTAAATAACTGATTGAAAACACTAAAATATAGTAGAATAATCGAATAATACAATTACAAAGTGACCATTTTATTCAGTGGAGTTAGTTCCGAGCCCCTGGTGTTGTCGAGTAGTGAGAATGTGCAACATCGTCACCGCCTCGTGCACTGTGTTAACTAAGTCTCGTTACATTTTATTTTTAGAAATCATTCATTTTAATGGGAACACTTTTGATGGTACCGATTGCTTCTAATTGTATTTGTAAGAGGGTAGAATGTAATATATTACCCCACAATTATAAGTTCGGGGTAGGTTAATAATAAAAATTGTATACAATAATAATAAGATATATTTACCAAAAGTGATCTCAATTCGATTCACACATCACGTACTAACCTTCGTGTACAGTATAAGTAGATGCCAGTAAGTTAAGTTAGTATAGTATTAAGTAGGTCGCCAACAGTATCGGGCCCGACCAGCCGCCCGGGTCCAGTGGCTCGGCGCGGTGACGTCACTCGCCCTACATTCCACTTTTTGAAAACGACCAGTTTTTAAAAAGACTGGTCACAATTCGATATTGTAATACGGGTAACATTTGAAGTGAATTAACCTAACCTTTTGAACATAGTTGATATATTATATATATATAAGTTATTGCTATAAAAGTGCTAACATTAATATGTGAAGTCTGAATAAAATGTATAACATCACTGAAGTGAAAAAAAACTACGTCATCAGGATCGCAACTTGTCCTTTGAAAAGCGGACACGTTTTACACCTAATGATCCTCTGCAGTCAAGTGAATTCAATGTACATATACATGTACTATCCACTGTATAAAAACAAAATTGGATGCTTCTTGTATCTCAGTAACAGCTCCCAACGGTCACGGAGCGCGGCGGTAGCGCTTCACTATTGAAATGATTCCACGCTCACATCATTGAGGGAGGCACTGAGAGCTGAGCGCGGGGGACTGTGGGGCACTCCAAACGATGACCCCTGGCTAACTATTGAGAAGTGACTTTCAAAAAACTGTCTGATTGAATTCATTTTAATATCACAGCGTAGCGCTGACAACAACAACAGCATTAATGATCTTGATAGAAAATTATAAACGAATTGAAATTAATAATAACCGCGGTTCGATTCCCGGTGTCCTCCTTGTGATTGGTTACCAGCTCGCACTCGGCGCGCTGGTCTGATAGATATGGTAGTTCAACACTAGAGCACGAGTGAGCGCAATAGGTGTGTAACATGTGACGTGTGTATGTAGTGGCGACGGGCAACAGTTACGCGGGCGCGCTGCGCGGCCGGGACCCCGCCGCCATGACAGGTACCGACCCCACTCCCCCGCCGCCATCCTCCGACCGAGACATTCATGTTTGAACCACTCATTTCATTGTCTTACTATAATACATTCCACTAGTCCCAATAATGACGCGCTACTCCTAGTATCATGCAGTAGTAGATCGTGTGTAAGTTACAATGATACTCACACGAGTACAAGCGGAGGCAGGCGCCGGTGCCGAGCTCAGCTGACACAACAACTACTTTAAACAATATAATCGCGATATAATTAAAATATTTTTCATTCGGCCCGCAATGTAGTAAGCAGTAGGCGCGGTACATTGCGGGCTCACTGCTACGAACGAACATTACTACAACGACAGGCGTGTACAGTTCACACAGTCAATTCACTGAAAATTTATGTTTTCGTCATATATTTTATTCCGTTTCGCTTCGGGGATTGCTTGAACACACATATTAGCTTATAACAACAGTATTTTTATATGCTAATATTCTTTTAACTATATTGTGAACAGGTAATACTGTGATATATTCCGTAGCCCTTCATATTATTGTAATGATGTCGCTGTAATACAGAACCGCGGAGAGACCGTCCAAACCTTATGTCAGTCAGGTTGGAAGTAGTGCACAAGCTGAAACTGAAAACTTAAACGTAATATATACGCAGTAGAATTTCATGATCATTGAACTCCTCCTCCCTCCCCGGTCCTCATATCCCAGACACAAACGATTCAATGTTTAGTTTGTAATGCTTTCTACTATTCGCCCGATTCACCGTGAAGCGCTGCGTCGGCTGGCTGACTCGCGCTTGCCAATGTTGGACTAGTGTTTGCCGAATACGGAACCTAACATTTATCTCTATATTCGACAAGCATTGGACCAATTATTCAATCGTGACGCTTTACTGCGCTTTCTTTTGTTTGTAACACTTCTTTGGCGATGCTCGGCCGGTCCCGTCGACCGCATGTCGGCGGGATTAGCTGATATATATATCATAATTTTAGTTTTAATCGTTCGACCTCGCTTCATTTATATGCGGATACTTCGTTTGCCGTACTGCGGGTTGTGTTTGTGTGTCTGGTGTGTATGGGCAAGCGAGGTAGCCGCGAGTCGACGAGCAGAGTGCAGGGTGCGGTACCGCTCAGTAAGGCTGGCGTGTGGTCGGCAGGCGAGGGGGGCGCGGGGGGCGCGGGGAGCGCGGAGGAGCGGCGCGAGTGACCGCCGCCCGCACTCCGCGCGCATCGCTATACGTACTCTACCGACTACCGACCATTCCGGCTCCGGCGGCTGTGTATCACGAGCGTGACGTCACCGTGTTGTCGCGATTTATTCTAGTTTGCTCATTTTAATGGACATTTATGTGAATATTGTGATAATAATTTGTAAAAACCGAATTTTATTTTTTAATATAGTTTTTAATTTTAATCATTACTTTTCTTTTTACTTTTACTTTACCCGCGCTTATCCCTCGATTGTGCTTCGGTATTGTTACTATAGAAATAATTTGTAGAAATTAGCTTAGTATTTATAGTCATTAGAAACATGATCATCGGTCATTAGCGATTTCCGAAAGCAAAAGCTAAATATGATTGAATGATCCTAGTCCCTCGCACCGGCTCCGCTCTGCTCTCCGCGAACATCCCCGCGACCCACCGAAACCTACACCATCGCTTAACTTAACTTCTAAAATTGATTTTGTTTCGTTCGAACCTAATCCTAAAAGCCATTCTTTAGTTTCAAACAAATGACCCTTTTACCTGTTACTTGACTAGAAATATAATGGAAATGAATATTTGTATTCTTTTACAGACAAGTAGTAAGCAAAAAAATAGATCCTAAAGTAATTATTTGACTGTAAATAATCTGACACACGTGACAGTGGTCATTATTTATTTGTAATATTTCTAGTGAAGTAATCAGAAGTCCACACTAGAATTTCGAGTGTAGTGTGGACGCGCGCGCCGGGCACGCTTCCGACATCTTGGTCATCATCATGTGTCTGAACGAATCACATTGGATCTGCTTAACAACAAGCGAATGTATCAACGTGGTTGTACGAGGGACCTTCCAAACGAACAGTAAAACCGATTATAGACCCCCGTCCTGCGACACCCTCCGTTCGTGACGTCACTAGAGTGGAGTGTTCAATGGAAATTTGAAAATGGTTTCTATTGTTTACTAGTTGACCCGGCAGACTTCGTAGTGCCTCAATCGATAAATAAAAGATCTAAACTTTTGTATAAAATAAACTTAAAACAAACAAAAGGAATCCGTCCGACGGGGGACACATTAATGGACAAAACAATTTATATTAATTATAACAATTTATTTTTATTTAATTCCGATCATTTTCATATTTATCTGCCTTTTAGACCTTCTCTGAACTTCCACAAATAAAATTAGCCAAATCGGGCCAGCCGTTCTGGAGTTTTAGCGAGACTAACGAAGAGCAATTCATTTTTATATATATAGATTTCAAACGCACCAATAGATCGATTTCCCCTACTATAATATATAAACAACGAATTAAATTCATTAGAATTTTTTGAGATATTCTTTGAGACACATCATAATAACCTCACCGCCGCCGCCGCTAACCTTCACATTGAGCCGGCGCAGGGCGCGCGCGGACCCTACGATGTACGCACGCGTCTCTGCGATTCTTTCTAATTAACTGTTTGCATTTGAAACACTTGTCGATTGTTTTGCATTATTAATTAATCATTAATTTTACGATGTCATTCAATCTTTAAACGTACATCGGAGATCCGCAACGCTGGACAAACTATTTCAACGTGGACGTTCTTTTTTCAAGTCTCACAATAAAAATGTAACACGAAAGTGTTGAAGCCAAACATTGAGTCCACGTTCTGCTGCTATTGTTGTACGATATTGATGAGTCTGGACGAGAGGAACGTTCACGTTAGTGAGTCGCAAGTCGGAGACGTGAGTGTGGTAGCGAGTTGTGAAGGTTGTGGGCCAGCTGCAGGTGTGTGTGCGTCAGATTCAGAGCGCGGCCGGGAGCTGGGCGCCGCGCTCGAGCCCTCCCCGCCGCGGGGACCCTTCGACCTCCGCGACCCCGACCACTTCCCCCCCATCGCCGTCAGGGCACCGCAGCACTAGGACCGCCGCGCCCGCCGGACAGAACTTTCAATGTTTAGTTCAATTCTACAAAACATACACCTACATCAAATACTTTATGTAATTAATATAAATATCTAAAAGATTGTTTGTGTCAGAAATATTGACCAGAACTTGGACCCGTGGGACGGGGCCCGACGTGGCCCGCCGCGAGCCGCTAGTGTAAGTTGTCGTCCGACTGTCTTGTCCCTTAGATAAGTCGTTTTTACAATTTTATCACTATCTCGATTATATTATTGTAGACAAATTTTACAAATTTCATATAAATTAAATTCAAATTGTATTTACTTTGATATTATATACTAAAAGCATGTGACATTACTAAATTTAGGAATAAAAACAAAACAAAAAATAATAAATATTTCAATAATTCTATATTCAATCCGGACAGACAGATGAGACGACGTTAGTGTAATTATTGTAATATATTTAGTTAAATTGACTCTGTCTCTTTGTTCTATGACTTTATAGTGCAGCTTACAATTATAAGATCTGAAATAATAAAATAAAAATGTAAAAGGAAATGCAAATAAATAATAAACAAGATAAAAGTTTATTTATGAAGAAGCGCGCGGGGCGTGCCGCGGGGCGCGGGGTGCGGGGCGCACTCTTGCACGTGGCTGCGGCAGCTGGTCGGCCGCTAGAGGCTGCTAGTGACTGCACAGTGCACAGTGCACAGAGCACGCTGACCGCAGATAATAATACACTTAATGTGACGAGCGGCGACAAGAACCCGTCCGAAGCGCGCAGCGTTGGAATACAATTTAAAAAATAACAACAAAACTACAAACCGTAGACGCGACTCGATGCTCACTAACGTGCATCTAGACATTTCTGTAATTTCAAAGGCAAAAAACTTGTATAAACAAATTGTAAATTTTTATTATAATTTATTGTATATTAGTGGGACTTCGTAAAATAATTTAAAAAAAAACTATCAGAGGGACCGCCCTCGCGACCTCCGTGTCAATATAAATATCGTGAAGTTCGGATTATAATAAAGTGAGTAATTATATAAGTGACTGTATCTCCACATCGGCGTTTGTATATAATTAGAGGTGTCATCTGAAGCCACGAGCGGCTGTAATATTTAAATAACAATTAGTCTAGCGGTTAGCGAGATATACAATCGTCAAATTAAATACATGGCTTCCTCTGTCTCACTGTAACATATGTTGCCTATTTCGAAACCAAACAGTGGCTATAGCTAAAATATAAAGAACTTAATATACGTAGGTACAAATTCTAGTATTTATTTTAGTTCCGTGTGTGCTGCTTAAGGTGCGTGTGTCTATAGCTTTTAACGCTCCGCTGCGACTTGCTCAGAGATGTAACAGGCTCCGACCGGACAAAGGAGACAAACTTTACATCACCCGCAGTCTACCTCCGCGCGCCTGCTCCTACCGCTACCTTCAATTTATAAATTGCACAGAAAACTCTGGTGTATTATTTTTACTTTGTCATCGTAGAATTTGTTCCGTAATCGCAATCTAGTTGTATGTCTACCACTAAAAATGTTTCACTATAATTAAAGAGAAGTTAAAAGTTATGGAGACGCGCACGCTGGCTGGTCTTCTAGTTTAAATTAAATTGTAAATAAAAATGAATAAAGTTTTCTACGAAACTGCAACGTCTTTTTTAATGTTTCTCACAGCCTCAGCCGTAATGAGGGCGCGGCGCCGTCGCATTATCGGCAGTTCCCATGCGATGTCTACACACAAAGTCGATTTATTTTCCTGAACCATATATACCTATATCCGTAGCACCACTCGTGCAGCGAACAATGCCGCAGGTTTTATTGTGGTAACGACAAATGAGTCATCAATCGAATATCTTTGCAATGTTGTTGAGATTGAAATAGTTTCATTACAATTTTAGCAACCCATGACGTCTTTCTCATCAATCCTTAGTTGTGGTAAGTTATGAATCTCTCTCAACGTCCAGAGGCTGCTGGCAGGTCGTGAGTCGCACGGCATCACCAGTGGCACGCAAGATCGTCTGCACACTACACTCCGTAAGAATGTAAAGCCAACTCCGACAATGCGAAGCATTTGTAGATATGTAGGTATCCTACGGCTTGCGCTACGGAGCGAGCGGTAAATCGCTGTATAGGGACATGTTTTCTATAGCTTTTTAACAGAAATAAAAATGCAGCTTCGGATATTTACCATCCTACTATTTAGCATTGAGAGATACCTAAATATCCTATACCTACAGGAAATCCTTGTCCGACCAAGAATATACGTACATATAAATATAGTAATTACTCCGGCTTTCGCGAGTCCTAGACGCAATTAAAACAATTTTTTACACTTAAGTTATCACTTTCATACTTTACAGTTTTGATGCCGAAAACTGAAGTCAAACAAACTGCAAGATGCCTAACTTAATAGGTTGGGGAAAAAGTCTTTTCGCATTATAGTATGTATGAACTTGTAATAAAATCTCTTTGGCTATACTATTTGTATCTGGCTGTTCTGGGTATCATTAAAGGTTTAAATTTTAAAGAAGATAATTCCAAATTCAAATTAGGGAAATGTGTGATTTTTATTTATTTTTCGTACTGTTAAGATGAATGAATCTAATGAACAAAGTCGATACATTTTAAAATTTTACTACAAAAAAGGTAAGACTGCAACGCAAGCCGCGAAAAAAAATTGAGATGTTTATGGACCTAGTGCCGTGTCTGTGAGAGTAGCACAAATTTGGTTAAAACGTTTTCGATCCAGAAATTTTGATGTCAAAGTGAACGTCGCTTTGGTCGCCCTATTACGGATAAAATGGATGCCATTTTTTTGAAAAAGTGAAGCAAGATCGGCATATCAGTTGTTACGACGTAGCTGAAGAACTGGGAATTGACCACAAAACAGTTTTGGCGCATTTGAAAAAAACTGGGTACACAAAAAAGCTTGATATTGATGTGCCTTTGGAAAACATACAGCATTGTATTATGAAGAAGCAGTGTGTACTTAGCTTAAATTCCTTGTCTATGTCCAACCATAGACAGTCAATTTAGTTCCATCTTTAGCCGCTAGGTGCTGCCAGCAAGTATAAAGGAAGCGCAGCCATCTTTGATCTTCATCGCATCGACATCAACCCCACGAAAAGCACAGCGGTGCTCTTCAAAAGGGGTCGCCCTCCGAACACCACGCTGAGCATCCCCCTCCCGACTAGGCGCGTCAATAACCCCGCCCCCGCCGTTCGCCCAATCACGATGTTCGACCAGCCCATACCGTGGGCCCCGAAGGTCAAATATTTAGGCGTCACCCTCGACAGTAGGATGACATTCCGCCCCCACATCAAGACGGTACGCGACCGTGCCGCCTTCATTCTAGGACGTCTCTACCCGATGATATGTAGGCGAAGTAAAATGTCCCTTAGAAATAAGGTGACACTCTACAAAACTTGCATACGCCCCGTCATGACCTATGCAAGTGTAGTGTTCGCTCACGCGGCCCGCATACACTTAAAATCCNACCGTGTACTCATTTGTGATTCTTTATTACGACGTAATGAAACCGAACCATTTTTGAAGAAGCTTATAACTGGTGAAGAAAAGTGGATCACGTACGACAAGAACGTGCGAAAAAGGTCGTACTCAAAGGTCGGTCAAGCTTCACAAACTGTGGTGAAACTCGGGTTAACTCACAACAAGGAGTGCTGTGTGTGTGGTAGGATTGGAAGGGCATTATTTATTATGAGCTGTTACCACCAGGCAGGACCTTCAATTCTGAACTCTACTGCGAACAACTGATGAGATTAAAGCAAGAAGTTGAGAGAAAGCGGCCGGAATTCATTAACAGAAGGGGTGTGGTTTTTCATAATGATAACCTCACACTTTTTTAGCCACTCAGCAAAAATTAAGAGAGCTTGGCTGGGAGGTGTGTGAATGCATCCGCCGTATAGTCCTGACCTTGCACCTTCAGATTTCCACCTGTTTCGGTCTCTTCAAAATTCATTAGGCAGTGTCAGGTTAACATCACGAGAGGACTGCCAAAACCAATTGTCGCGGTATTTTGATCAGAAACTCCAAAATTTCTATAGCAATGGAATTATGTCCCTACCTACAAGATGGCAAAAAGTTATCGAACAAAATGGTACTCACATACTTTAGTTAAATGTAAATAAACTAAATTAAAAAATGTTGTGAATTTTCTTAAAAAATGCGAAGAAACTTTTTCCCCAACCTATTACAATTAGTATGAAATAAAAAGTCTTAAATCTCTGAAAATATTTATATAGAAAAATGCGATGAACAACACCTCAATCGCCCTTAACTATGAGAACTATAAACCATAGCAATTATAAAAGCTAACATGTACTTAGTTACATTATAGCTGTATCTGTTGAAGAATTACCTGAAACCTCGTTTAAAGAAGGACATCTCAGAGCCCTCTTTTGGATGGAGTCAAATGGAAGAACCTGGCTATTGTTGTGTGGCTGCTGGCTATACGACCGAACAACACCTCAGTAAAGCCGAATTTACATTACGAAATTAGTGGCGTGAAATTAATTTCGTGACATTAGTTTTACTAACAGTTTCACGTGTAATTTAATACTTTCGTAATGCATGCATTAATTTCATGTATGGAAATTAGTTTCGTGCCCTGCGCGATTTTTTGGTGAAATTAATGTCATGCAACTAATTTCATAGTGTAAACGCGACGTAAGCAATAACGCACACAGCGCGTTTACTTAACATAGCGACCCGCCTTCGCTTCGCTTCGGAAACATTAAAACACACATGAAACCAAAAAAATAAAATAAAAAATAAATAATTCATCAGGGACAATGTCGGCTTCTAATGGAAAAAGAATTTTTCAAATCGGTCCAGTAGTTTCGGAGCCTATTCGAAACAAACAAACAAACAAATCTTTCCTCTTTATAATATTAGTATAGATTGCACATGAACAGTAAGAATACTTAGGCGATCAACAAGCTTTTTCCGCGTAAGTATGGTGCATTTCCTACGACTGTTACATTTAATAAATTTAATTAAAATCAGTAAAATTCAGACTTATTATCGACAACTGCACTAGAGCAGTACTCAGCTGGTACTTGGTAGCCCTGGCCCACAGAACTTGTGTGCCCACTTTAATTAATGTGACAATCCTGGTAACTTCGGTGGCGTTAGGCACTCTAGTTTACTGCAGGAATACCTCAAATGGGAATTGATAAAAAATTAATGAGATGGAATAAAAAAAATAAAAAAACGTGTGGCACTCGGGAACTGCCGCGGTAAAGCTATTGCATAGCATTTTTTATCAACTTATGCAATTATAATTAGACAATGATAATTTAATATTAAAACAATAATAAAACAAGACCACGCTATATTAAACATTAATCAAAGCAAAACCTTAACTGTCTCCTTCACACTCATAAGCTAGACCGCGCGCGAGAGAGATGGGCAGACTTTTCATGATGTGCATGCAGTGTGACGTCACGCCACGCGCTTATTCACAAACACTACACAAGCGCAACGTGTGAATGTGTTGAACGCGAGCTACATGGTAGGCGGAGTGAGGGGTGTAAGGTTTTTTTCGTTACGGAATTTCATGATTCCGCTCTCAAGCCGCGCTCAAGGCCCGCGATAAAATCTATGCAATACCTTAAAAACTATAGTTCTTTTTAAATAATGAATTGAAAATGTCATCGGTGATGGTAGGTAGCATTATTATGGAGGATAAACATTATGTAAGCATAGTGAAAGTGAAACAAATTTTAATCTATGACTCCTTTCATCCTTCATCATCCTCCTTTCATCAATATCACCTAATTCACTAATTATTTTTTTCTATGAACTAAGTTTAATATCTGTAAAACATGAAAACATACGCTGCATAGCATAGCTAAGTCATAAAAGTGTTGAAGTCGTGACTACCAGTTTAAAATAGGTGTAGGCAATACAATCATAACAATATAATGTTTTTTAAAGATTTTATGGCCTTTAAGCAAAGTATTTTCTTCTGATATTCTGTTATAATGATATGAAAAACGATATCAATGGGCGAAAGGCTACTTCGTTTAAGCTACATTTTTTCTGAACTTTGCTGGAGAGCTATTTAAAGTTTAAACTTTGGAAAAAATATAATGACAACAATTACTTCTTTAACTATTTGAATGCAATAATATAATTGAAGTTCAATTAAAAAGATCGAACTGTTGATAATAATACCAAATAAAACGATCTTTAATTACAAAGATAAATGTCGCGTAATAAGCGAAATGTCGCTTAAACCAAATAGCCTTTCACCCCTTGGTATGAAGCGAAATGAGATGAGATGAAATATAGTCTCAGTAATATGGTGGTTATTTTATGAGACTTTTCAGTTGACTTTTTTGAAGAAACCGAGAAACTACGTCCAGCGGCTTTGTTTAATTTCCCCACATTTATGCACTTTCACAGATGCTAAACAGTTGATAAACCACCGCTATTGCACATTGAAATCTGAAGAAAAGCTAAATTATCAAAATAAAACAATTCATACAATTTCGCTCCGCGCGTTCCCGCCAAAAAGTTCAAAAAAATTTTTTTTAACAGATTTTATGACCTGTTAGCTGAGACCTTTAAGTCATGTCTTATTTTAATTTATATTCATATTTTTATGAAAAATTATATTATGGAGTGAAATGAAATGAAGATGATTAATTTGAGACATTAATCAACTGGGATGAAATTAAATTAAATGAGACTAGATGATATGGGATGAAATATAATCTCAGTAAAATGGTGGTCATTTACTAAGTTTTTTTCAGTGGGCTTTTTGTAGGATCCCGAGAAGTTACGTCCAGCGGCTTTGTTTCATTTTCCCACATTTGTGCACTTTTACAGATATTAAACAGTTAATAAACCACCATTATTACACATTTAAACCCGAAGAAACACTAAATAGACAAAACAAATCACACAACTTCACTCCTCGCGTTCCCGCCAAAAAGTCCATTCCAATAAATTGATATAATTCTTACACAGAGTATATAAAACTAATGATAACGTAATTACAAGACAAAGAAAAGTCAAATCCGATTTAAAACATTGGTAGTTAAAGATCATTTTTCATTAAAAATAGCTTATCGGTAACCAGCTAGCCTATTTATTACTCGCAATAATTTTTTAACCAAAGAAAATAAGAATGGCTATTAAACAAGGCAGTCAAGGCAAAAATAAAGAAAACTAAAATTTAATTTCAATATTAGGTAACTGTGAAAAAAATTAACTCTAAAAAAATTCTCATAGTAGATTTTTCATAATAATAGGATCCACTAAAAATCGTTGGCCTTGTAATAGATGCAATATCCGAAAAAACAAAGTACTTCTAGACCGCGGGTCCGTGTTACATACAGCCTCCACGCTGGAACGCCTTTGCGGCAGAAATGGGTAGAATTAGCGTGCAGGAACCACAGGATGCCCTATTACCAATAATTTTCGCAACGCAACGCTATTCGCTCATCGTGGAAGTCTTTCGTGAACATGAGACAAATGCGTAGAAAATGGCACCCGTCAATGAGAGTCGAACAGCGCCAGCCCGCTTCGGACCTCCTCAGCGGATAGACATTCTGCTTCAGTAGTAGATGCACTTGCAAAACAGCTGTTTTAAGCAATTAGGTCTTCAGATCTTAGACCTTAGGCTTAGGACTGTTAGGTTCTGAGGAATTCGTCCTCGCGGACACCAACAAGAAAGGCCAACATAACCCTTAATGCCAGTAAAAGTACCGTTTGGAGATCGTCACGGATACGTCACGAATACGTGTCTAGTCCAGAAGTTACATTTCAGTAATTTAATTACGTCTAGAGATACCGACCGTTCCTACCAAAAAATCAATAGTTAAAATAAGATACTACAGTGTTGCATTATTTAAAATAAATCTGAGATTTTATTGAATATTTTTAATCAAAGTTGTCACGGCATATTTTACAAAAAATTTTGAACATTGGTTCTCGAGCCTCGCCGCCTCGCGGGCCGACGACACGGAGTGAACAGTAACAACAGCGCGGAGCGCGGCGGGGCGGGGCGGGGCGTGGCGCGGCGCGGCGGCGGCGGGGGCGGGCGCCGCTACAGCGCGTCGCTCCTGCAACACGCGGCGCCGTCAGAGGGCGCGGCGGGGCGGGAACAGTAACGAGAAGTCGTTCTGTTCTCAGGTGTCCCCTTTACTCATAAGGTTTTAGAAGATATTATCTATTGAGAGGTGAAATATAGATCAATTTACCAGTATTTTATTTTTATTGTTTATTACATCTAAAATGTAAAAGCCGCCACCAACCTTGAGATAATAGTTCTAAGGTCTCAGTTTTAACAGTACAACGGCTGCCCCACCCTTCAAACCGAAATGTATTACCGCTTCACGGCAGAAATAGGCAGGGTGGTGGTATCTACCCGTGCGGACTCACGACACATCCTACCACCAGTAATTAAACAAATTATAATTTTGCGGGTTTGATTTTTATTACACGATGTCATTCCTCTACCGTGAAATCCAATCGTGAACATGTTAAGTACGTATTTCATTAGGGAAATTGGTATCCGCTTGCGGGATTCGAACACCAATGCATCGTTCGGTACGAATGCACCGGACGCCTTATCTTCAAGGCCATGACGACTTCAGTTGTTTTATATGTGCTATTCATTTATACAGTGCTACTTTACTATAGAGCATTGTAACAAGAAATTATTTGTTAAAATCTATATCATAATATCGCGAGAAAGTCCCTGGTGTAGAGGAGTGCGGGGGGGTGCGGGGGGGGGGTGCGTCACCTGGGCATGGCGCACATGTCGCAGGAGGCGGCGGCGGGGGGGTTGTGGAAGGTGCAGACGGCGCACGTCCAGACGGCTCGGCCCCCCTCCGCCCGGACCCCTTCCGCCCTGTAAAAGAAGAGAACACATTTTTTTAGTGTGGAACAGAAAGCGCGCCTGCTGTGTAAGCTTACTCGGCCCGGGGACAGCACAGCGTGCGCCAATTGGTTCAAGATTCAACTATAGCCCTGGTCCACAGAATATGACAGGCGATGAAAATTATACTTAAAATTACAAACGGATCAAGTTTTCGATTTAGGTACAGTTAGGTACAACACAAGTACAAGAGTAATGGAGCGAGTACGTGCCCGGTGTCGGCGGCGGCCAGGTGCAGCAGCGTGGCGGCGCTGGGCAGGGCGCGCCACGCCTCGGCGGCGTCCCCGTCCCGCAGCCGCACGGCGTCCAGCAGCGGCGCCAGCGACTCCATGCCCAGCGCCAGCGCCTCGTTGGACGCCAGGTACAGCAGCACGTGCAGGTCCGACATCGCCTGTCTCGACCAACAACAACACGCATGCGTCATCATCGACACACTCACATCACAATGAACATCTAGCCACTATCGTACGAGCATTAATTATGTTATCCCGTTTGCGTGTCGACCTTCGTCAGCGACTCCTGTGACACAGGGGAACCGATCGCAGTGCCTCGCGCTACACTGATGTGTGGTGGGGAATGAGCCGAGGCAGATTGCTTTTATAAAGTGAATAGATATCCCGGTTCAGGTTTTTCAAGATTCGAGTCTTGAGAAAGTAGTTGTGTCTCCTAAGAACAGCACCATCTATTACCGAGATCACGACTCGTGACCGACGGGCGGGGCCGCGAGGGCGCACTGCTGGACTCCACCCGTACTGTGGTCTCGTCGTCGTCGTCTAGCCTATAACTTTTAGAGTGTGGCGTGCTCTGAACTCCGAAATAGACAAGAGACTTAAAACATTTCTTAAATTTACTGTGATTGATGGTTCCGTAATAAGTCACTTATTACTTACTTAATGATCGTAATAAATGAGTAACATTTTCATAAGGAAATCCTTTTCTCACTATATTTGTACACAGTGCAGTAGTATGCATTGCATGTTATAGAACGACGAGGTTTTCCTTGTAACAATATTTATAGCAGTCTTGCTACAGACAAATATAAGTAGGTAGGGAGGACAGAACTGGCGCGGCTGATTAGATGACGCTTTAAAGTGCGAAGGAAAAATATCGAAATGCAGGACTTAACTTTAACTTATTAGTTAAAACGCATTTATTACTACAGTAACACACACATAGTCTATCAATAATTATCATATTGTACATGATTTCGGGTCGGAAGTTGAAAACAAAATTAAAGGTAGAGTGGAAGTGATTCTGACCTCTAGAAAGCTATCGCTGGCCGCTATGTGCCGGTGTAGCGCCTGCAGGGTCTGCAGGTGCTGCTGCAGTGGCCGGTTGGCCGGCGGGAAGGTGGCGGTCGCGCCGAAGGTGGGCGGCCCGCCGACGGCGACCCCGCAAGGCACGTCCACCAGCAGGTACGCGACCGGCAGCCTCTTCGCAGACACTCCCACTTCGTTGCCGTACTCGTCGCGTTCCTGCACCGTATCAATTCACGTTTAGCCGTTTTAAGTAGCCGCGGGGAACTGATGTGTTTTATCGCGGCTTAAACTAAACAAAAATACAAGTACTCTTGTTTACTTGTCGAGTAAAAAGTAACGATAAAACGATAAATTTGACTGATTCGGTGGTGCAGTGATTAGTGCGTCTGACTTTAGCGCCGAGGGTCGTGGTTTAAATTTCCACATCGGGCAAACATTAGGTGATGAGCAGGTTTGTTTTCTCTTGGTTTGGGTGTTTATTATCTATATATGTATACATTTAAATGTATATAAGTACGTTTGTCAGTCTCTGGTACTTATGACACAGGGAATACTAAATTACATATGTTTTATTTGATTTCATCTCACTAGTTTTAAGGGCACTACTATTTTTCTGTTTGTTTTTTGGGAATTTAGCGATTGCTCATGGCTCAGCGCCCTTTCCTTCTTCCCCAGTACAGGCGAGGCACTGTGCCATCAATGTGGCAACGCACTATACGTTGGCATACGGCATAGTAGGCATTGGGGTAGATAAAATAGGGCACATTCAGGCTCATGGTGATTTTGGTGAATTTATAGCAGATCGACCGCATTAGACAATAGCTCTACTGAGACTCGGAGCCGCAACATACCGACTGCACCAGCCACTGATCCAGATTGATAAAGATATTGTAGAATGCATTTAATGTACGCATTCTACTGACAGTAGTACCTAACGTCCGTAGTGGTAATGGAAGTATGGTTACTACTTCTTCTTCAAATTATTTTGAAGTCATCTCTCAAAGTAATTCGTATGTAGCCGAGCCGGGACCGTCGTGTTCGTAACTCAAGCCGAAGTATCTAAAGCTCAACAAGCGTGCACGTGTCGCGGAGCCCGCAACCTGGTCACTATACTAATATCATAAAGCTGAAGAGTTTGTTTGTTTGAACGCGCTAATCTCAGGAACTACTGGTTCGATTTGAAAAATTCTTTCAGTGTTAAATAGCCTATTTATTGAGGAAGCCTATAGGCTATATAACATCACGCTAAGACCAATACAAGCGGAGCACCAATAAAGAATGTTACAAAATCGTATTTTTTTTCCTTTTGAGAGCTTCCGCTGCGTACGCTGTAGAAACGGTTAAAGTTTCGCTAAAATAATGTATGACAGAATTGTTTCCCTTTAAAAGATCTAAAAAAAAAGTCCACGACTGCATATGTCTTTATGTTAAGGTTGGCTCACTATAACGTTTTTATGTAAACCAACTTTTTTCTAAAATAAAACATTATTTGTGAACTATTCCACGCGGACGAAGTCGCGGGCAAAAGCCAGTATTGCATAACCCTTATCTAGTGGCAGCGCCGCCGCACAGCCCCGGCGAGGTCACTGACCAAATGTCTACTTTGTAAATACTTATCATAATTTACGTAGGTTTACTTCGAACCGCGTCATCTGAAGGAATATTATATTTATAATCTCCGCGAAAAATCTCTTGTATTTATAATAAAATGTAATACTCGTTTATAGTTGCAATTGAATTTATAAATCATAATTTCATTTTTTACCTTTGTATTTGTCAATAGGAATAAAGTCATTTTGTTTATCGTATTATTTGAGGATTCGTCATGACAAAAGTACCTTTTAATAAGTTGACTCTATATAGGTACGCACCGAATATAAACAATGTACCTAGAGATTATGTAGAGGCTTTGATTATGCAACACGTAGCGTAGAGCGCGGCGGCGTACGTCGAGGGCACGCGCCGATCGATACGGACCGGCGCTGCTGTACGCATCCTCCAAGCGACCAACGCTCAGTGGACGGGTTGGGCCAACACGGCACGGCGCCCGCCCGCCCGATTGGACGTGTTGGACCAACATGAGCGGCGCTATTGTTGTTCGCGTCGCGATAACCATTGATAAGGCGGGCGCAAGCCGCGCCTCTATCAACAGCGGTGCAGTGTGAGAAGAGTGTGGACCGTGGGGCCGCGACCCGCCCGGTCCGGGGTCCGTCGCGACGCCTCCATGCTTAGCTTCAAAGCGTTTCATTTTCCGTCAACGGATTAATCGTAACGAAGTTTTTTTTTAATATTTACTGTGCAAAACTATGGTTTGAATTCAATGGATATGTGATAAAACGTCATTCATTAAAAAAGCCCCGGAACATTAAACGTCTTTTGCCTTCTTTATCATAAATGTACGTCATAAACGTATCAGTCCAGTACTTCTGTTAAATTGGAAAAAAATATAAAGGAGTAATTACAACGAGACGTCCGGAGCCGACAGCTTTTGTGATCTGTTAATGAAACGCTGATAAAATAAATAAAGCCATGGTGAACGCACAACGAACAGAGCGGAGCAGCCGGGAGGGACCGAGCCGCGTGCAGCTTCGGGCTGGAGCTTGAGCCGTCCCCGGGACATGTGACGAAAACTTTAGTCGGTCAGAGGTCAGTATTTTCAGACAGTTTTTTTTCCAACTTTTAAATCTGTTGAGTTCGCCTTCAAGTAGATACATCGGTTTACAGATGGCGCACTCCCCACTGGACGAGATCGAAGAGCTGACGCTGTGTCCGTGCTGCCGGCGCCCCTTCGACGAGGACGAACACGCACCCAAGCTCCTCGCGTGTCGACACCATTTCTGTTTGCGATGCGCCCGAACCGTGCTGGGCCCGGGCCGAGAAATCTACTGCGCGCACTGCTGGAAGCGCACATCGCCCCCTGGCGGACAGGTCGAGGCACTCCCCACGCACGCCGCCCTGCTGGCACTCACGCGCCACTTCGCCCCCGACCCCGCCTGTACGGAGCACGCGCAGCCCGCGCTGTGGTGTCTGTCGTGCGGCGTGCGGGCCTGTCGCGCCTGTCCTGACCACTCCACCCACACGCTGCGGTCGCCTGGTGAAGCCCGCGCCGTGCTGCGGGCCGAGAGCAAAGAGTTGCGCGCTGACCTGCAGCGTCTCGCGGTGAGACAGCGGGACTTACTGCTGCGCGCACTCGATGCCACCACTGCGCTTAAGCTGCGCCTCGAGAACCAGCTGGCGGCACCGCCCCTTGATCATTACCCGGCGGCCGAGGCGTGTTCTCTGCGGGCCTGTGCGGCAGAGCGGGATGTGCTTAAGGTCCGACATGCGGAAGCACTCGTGCAGGCTAGAGTCGATGACCTCATCCGATCAGCGCCGGCACCGCTTGACTTCGATAGCTTGACGCGAGCCTTGAGAATCACGGAGACGTGGGCGGCATCACCGGCGCCGGGGCCCGGGGATCCGCTTGTTCTACTCGCCAACTACTGTGCGGCACAGGTGTGGGCGCGCACAACACACGGTCGCGTCGAGGACGGAGGATGCGAAACAGCCACAGTGGAGAAGGGAGGGCAAGGAAGAGAAACGCCAGCGGTTCGCGCTCCAACGCCGTTTCCGTTATTCTACTTCGAGCTGGAGGTGGACGGATCGCCCTTCGGACGCATCGTGATCGAGGTGCGCGAGGACGTAGCCCCTCGAATGGCACGTAACTTCGCGGCGCTGACGACCCGCGAACCAGGATCTGGATACCGCGGCTGTGCAGTGTTCCAGTGCTGGGAGAACGAGAGCGTGATCACGGGGGACTTTGAGCATAACAATGGCCGCGGCGGGCGCAGCGCTTTCGAGGAGACCTACTTCATGCCCGACGAGACGCGGTTAGCGGCGGTGCGCGGTTCGGTCGGTATGCGTCGCTCACAGAAGCGCCACGACAACCAGGGTCTAGTGGGGTCACAGTTCCGTATAGTATTGCGCGAGATGCGCGGTTTCACTGCTATCTTCGCGGCGGTCGTGGAGGGGCTAGAGCTGGTGGATCGACTGAGTCGCACGGGAGACAGCGCCGGCAAGCCGAGCTCCACGATCCTGATTTCCGCATGCGGCAAGCTCAACTGATTGATCTCCGTCATATCACTCTTCATCTTCGTCATCAGTGGAACTTTCTGATTATTCGGACCAATCTTTTAATTTATTCAGCGGCTCGAATATATTTTTGTATGCGTAGTTTACGGTTTCGAAGTATTTACGCGTTCTAAGTTCGTCCTTTTTACCCTCGAGTAGTCCCTGTAGCATGAGCGTGGTCTCGTGAAGAAGTTGACCGAATTTATATTTTGTAAGCGAATCCACGTGGTACTTTATCGATGTCGTGGATCTTTGATCGGAGACTGCGTTCGCGGCCGATCCTTACATGTTACTGAATGTGTAGTTAGTTGTTGTATCTTGGTTGTCAAACACATGCGCGTCAATATTATGTACTAATGTTAAACATTATAACGAAGTCTGTCGCGACGCAGATGTGGCGAGTGGGCGCGTTGGAGGAGGGGGAGGGGAGGGAGGAGGGGGAGGGGAGCGGGTGCGCACTCGCGTCGACGAATGGTATGATGAAGCGGCGAGTTTAACGAGACTGTGATGGCGCGCGAGGGGCGCCCTCCACCAGACAGTGCCTGCTTTTTACCTATATATGTACATTATATATTTACTTGTATTGGACGTTATAACGTTAAAATTTTATCCTCGGTGTTGTTAAGTTTGATTTTTCTCTTTTAGCAAAATTTATGGCGGGCGTCGGCGTTGTTCGCCGGCCCCCTCTTACTGTGGCCTGTGTTCTGTGTCGCATGTACTGACGTTACGTACATAGGTGGGGTAGTTACTTGTTAAGTGTTGTGAGCGAGTATTTTGTGTCTGATGAGGAAACCTCAAAAATAAACATGTCTGTGGAAGAACTTGATTTTTAATTTAAAAACTTATGCATAATCAACGAACAAACATCAGCCTTTTTTCAAGTAATAGTTATCGTAGAATAGTTGTCGTGCTGCCATAAATATTTAAAATGGTAAGATTTTTCCACGAATATAACAAATATGTACAAACTTTATAATACACAAGCTGAATTAAAAGCAGAATCTTTTTGAAATGAACCGAACTCAGATATCTCTATCTTCATTGAACAGACCAAGAAAATAACTATTGAACACATTATGTACTTATAATACATACTGCTTCACTGATGCAGCGTCAAATTCTCCTACCGAACTGTTCCGCATTCCTGTTTCGACGGCCGGGGGTGCGGTCGGGGACGGGGGCGGGGGGCGTTGTGTGTGGTAACAACGAGCTCTCGAACCACGCGGCGTTATTACTTGTAGTGTGTACACTACCATCCAAAAGTTTGGATATTTTATTTTTATACAAGAAAGAACATCGCCTATACTAGTTTTCTTTTTAATTAAAATATTTTTTATGTTGGTTTAACATTCCTTAAATTGACGAAACACGTTCATCAGTCGGCTACTTTCGTTTGTGTAGTTTTATTGAATATCTTTGCTAGTTTCAATTTTGTGGACCGTATTTAGTCACACTTGAGCATTGGCACGCGAAGGTTCTGATATTACTGTTGTTTGTACTCGATTTCGACTGCTGCTTTGACCGTACTTTTTCTTCTGAAAATGGCAAAATGCACTTTGCACTAGAACAGCGATGTGCTATTTGTACAGTTGTACTTCTTTATGCGAGAAAGAATACAGTGAACGTGAAATCGCACAAGACTTAAAATTTCTCGTAAATACCTACTACACACTTGCTAGAAAACAAGAAACTGGGAAAAATGAAGATAGGCAAATCTGGTATCCAAATCCACAACAAATCAAAAGGATAAGTACATTAGAGCGCTCCTTAAATGGAACCGATGCTTAACTGCACCTCTACTAGCTGCAGCCGTGAATGACACGCGAGCAACGCCCATTTCAATATCAACGGTTAAAAGATGCCTTCCGTCTGCGGGAGTAAAATGATGCGTTGTTGCTAAGAAACTCAAGTTTTCGATTCGACATAAAAAATAAACTAGAATGACCAATGATCAGATCAATGGAAAAATCTATTTTGGAGCGACGAATTAAAATTTCAAAATTTTGGGATCAATAGACGTGTTTGCCCGCCGGTTATTAATTGAAGGCATTTTAGCAACAATAAGGCCGGAGATCCTGCGAGGATAACCGGAAAACTAAATAAAGAAGGTTATTTGAAAATTCTCAGAGATTCCGCCATGCCCATTGGTCCTACGTTCACATTTCAATAAGAAAAAGAATCTAAGCGTTCGTAGAAATTTTGTGAGAACTTTTTGGACAAGAAAAAATTGAAATGATTTTAAAAATTATGCAACGGCCATTATAATTACCTGATCTTTGTCCTATTGAATTTGTTTGGGATTAACTCTAGGTATAGAATGGTGAAAAATCGATCACCAACCAACTCGGAATATTTGTGGCAATTATTGGAGAGCCAGTGGAGAATGTTCAATGATGAATATTTCAAGAAATTAATTAATGCAATACCTACAATATGCGAGAAGATAATGACAGAATACGTTTTTACTGGTGGTAGGACCTCTCGAGAGTCCGCACGGGTTGGTACCACCACCCAGCCTATTTCTGCCGTGAAGCAGTAATGCGTTTCGGTTTGAAGTGTAGGGCAGCCGTTGTAACTATACTGAGATCTTAGAACTCATTATCTCAAGGTGTGTGGCGCATTTATGTTGTAGATGTCCAGGGGCTCCAGTAACCACTTAACACCAGGTGGGCTGTGAGCTCGTACACACAACTAAAAATAAAAAAAATAAAAAACGTGCTCACTTTGATGAGGCTAAAGTTTAAGTGAATATCCATATTTTATGTTAAATTCTTATTGTGTTTACTTTCGTTTTTGTTTAATTTTTAATGTAAGAAATGGACGACATTTTAGTGTTTTATTATATTCTACCTGGCCCCTCCCAAGCCTTTGGACGGTAGTGTTTAGATCTCTACGTGGGTGCCGACGTGGGCCACTTTTCGTTTTGTGACAAAGTTTTAGACATTTCAAGTGAAATTAGGCACGTGCGTCGCGGGCGCCACGTGTCCCCCTCGCGCACAGCACCGGGCTTGTGGTGCCACCCACGAGGTCTGTACAATCCATCTCGCAGAAGTATTCGTCGTGGCCGAGCTTTCGCTCAGCTCCGGCTTTTGTAAGAGGGGGGAGTCCCCGTAAAGTTTATAGGGCGACCTGGGGGGGGGGCGATTATGAGGCCAGAGTGCGGGCAGTAGTCCTACGAAACTTCTGTAGAAGGGAAACCGGTTGGCGGGGTAAGAGCGCCTCTCGCACTGACCTTGTAGTAGACATCAGGAACGTACTGATGCTCCGACGAGTCCCGCACGTAGGCGAGGTCGGGCGCGTCGCGCGTGGGCAGCAGCACGCGGTCCCGCACCAGCGCGCCGCACTGCCCCGACACCTGGTAGCCCTCCAGGTGCACCTGCTCGGAGCTGTCCCCGCTCACGCACACCGTCACGAACTTGGAGCCGAAGTAGCCGGAGGCGGCGTGCCGGCACGCGCTGGGGTGCAGGTTCTGGTAGTGCCCCGCCGTGATGCACTCCTGCGCCGACAGGAAGTGCGTGTCCACCCCCCTGCGACCACACAACACGTCACCAGCCGCGCCCCCGGGCCACACCACCCCCCGCGCGCACGCACTTACCGAATGTGTTTAACGGTTCCTTTGGATACATCTAGCGGCACTAGATCGGTGAAGATCCACCCCACCCTCCGCAGCCCGAGGCGCTGGGCGATCTGCTGGACCAGTTCCTCGCGGGGGTCCGTCTCCAGCGCTATGCAGTCGCGGGACGACGACTGGGGCGGCTCGTATATGGCGGCCACGCGGGCACGGATACCTGTAGTGGTTATTTATATATATTTATTGCCTACAAAAACAAACATACAGTACGTCTGATGGAGAGCGGTCCGTGTCGCCCATGGACATCCGCAGTGTGGGCGTGAACGGCAATAGTGACGATGTCATGTTACTTATTAATAATCATTACATGCTGTTTTATCGAAATACGAGAACAATAGAAACAATTAGACTAATAAATGATATATTCTTGCTAAAATTTTTGGTTAAAAAAATTTTGTTTGGCAAAGTTTTAAACGATGATTTCAAGTCACAATTTGAAGGGGCTCGTACAGCCCTTATTGGTTTTACTACAAAAATAATACTGGGAACGCTCAGTACTGGAAACAAAGATTCCCAACAGCAGGGACACAATTGGACCGGGCGTGGGCACTGACCCAGCGGCACGTCGGGGTGGCTCTCGTACTGGCCGTAGAGCCAGGCCAGGCGCTGGTGGCCGGTGGCGCGCCAGTAGGACAGGAAGCGCTCCACCAGGTTGGCGTGTTCAAACAGTACATTGTCAGTATGTCTGTAAGGTTGTCGCATCAGCGTCACTGCTCCAGGCTGGCACTTGGAGCAGATCCCACGAGGCCAGGCCGGGTGTTCCCTGCAACCTAAAATAACACCATGATCTGTACTCTTTTTTACATACCCAATTCATCTATTTATTATCTTTCTTGGATTACATTCTGTTAATGAAGTTTAACAAATTATCAATTCTAACCATATGAGGGTCTTTATTAGTAGGTACAACCATAATCCTACAACTTCAAATCTCTGAACGTTGCTGACTACTAAAATTATGGAGATCTTAAAGTCTTGCTAGTTTTCGATTGTAAAAATAACCTAAAGTCTTAAACAAGTGTATATAACCTGTGCGCCTTACACATCTGTTAAGTCTTATTGTCAAATTATAAACAAGAAAACATTTGATCATTGTTGCTCTATACAATGTATCGTTTGCCTCAGTAGCATTGTGTAGCACGTAGCATTATATATTATGTAAATCTAAATAATGACAAATCACCTGGTTTGATTTTGCAGGAAAGTTCTTCAAGTGACACAAAGTTCTTAGATGTAATCTTCCGTAAGTATGAGTGGAATGACATGTGTTTAATGTTATGTTCCTTTAAGTATTCTTCGTCCCAAGGTTCTAGCGGGGTACAGTGAACGCATTTGCCATTAAGATTATGTCGACATCTGAAATGAGGAATTATATCTTCATCCATTACATTGGATACATCATATTGAACAGTGAAGGCTAACCTAACCTGGTTGAAGCGACATTTTTGCAACTTTACAGGAGTCATTTCAAGTTCAAAATTTGGAAAAAATATCATGACAAAAAAATCTTCAGCTGTTTGAATGGAGTAGTTTAAGTTGAATTTTTTTATTGCTTAGATGTGTGGATGAGCTCACAGCCCACCTGGTGTTAGTGGTTACTGAAGCCCATAGACATCCACAACGTAAATGCGCCACCCATCTTGAGATATAAGTTCTAAGGTCTCAGTATTGTTTAATTAATACCAAATAAAAGACACCTTTAATTACAGATACATGTCGAGTAATAAGCAAAATGTCGCTTAAACCAAATAGCTTTTCATCCCTCTATATTAACAATAAATAAATAATAATAAGTATAGGTTGTTAATCCCAAAAATACTATATTATCGAGTGACATTGTTATATACCACAATTAAACTAAACGAAGTATATCTGACCTTTTGACCTTTTGATCTGACTTTTCTGAAGTTGGTTGGTTGGTTGGAAGTATAAAGATGTTTTATTAAATTTTATTCAAATTTTAATCGCTTGGTTGGTCAATACAGTACAGATTATTGAGAAAATCACTGTTTTTTTTTTCATTTCATACATTTAATATACATATATAATACTTGTTAATATAGAAAATAAAACTTCAGGAATAGTTTATTTTATGCAATGTGCATCTTGACCATTTAAATACTTTGATGTGAAAATGTAACAAAAAAACATACTTCCACCTTTATAATATCGATTATTTAATTATAATTTAAAAAAACATGTTAGAGTTGACTGACCATGTCAGAAGACTATGCCACTATTAACAGTTTAAGATGTTGAATGCCATGACGACCATGCGACCCACCGGTGGGCGTAGCGTGCTATACCATTCGGGCCAAGACCAAATCAGGGAATCAGTAATTTTTATCAACTTGAGATTTTCATTAAAAAACCTGTAAAATGCGATAATTTGCATGGAAGATAAAAATCAGTGACTTCTACTGTCTAGCCTGTCCTTCTTCAAACGAGGCTTGTGGAGAGTATAAAGCGGTAGGCAGTGGCTTGGCTCTGCCCCTGGCATTGTTGAAGCCCATGGGCGACGGTAACCACTCACCATTAGGTGGGCCGTATGCTCGTCTGCTTACAAGGACAATAAAAAAAAAGCCTTTAAGATATTTTAAAAGGTAAAGGTATAATCTTCATAAAAACTACAACTTTCTATTAGATGTGAAAACCAAGGAATTCGGTTCAACTAAAGGGCCCTGTGAGTCACTTTCATGCATATTCTGTTTGATAGCTGCAATCTGTAGCTTGTAGGAAGCGTTTACGTTAGAACCCTCATATGGCTCACAGGTAACCCTCAAGGCCCGAACGGTTCATTCGATTTTTCACGTGGCGTTCAACAAGTTTATAAAAATGTTAAAGAATATAGTAAAATACTTACAATTTTTCATCCCTCTGTCTTTCAATTAAACCAGAAACTTTGTACAATTGCAAATCTACTTCATCTTCCTCTGGAGCACCAGGAGGTGGGGGGGGTATTGGTAATGTGACTTTAGACGTGGAAGGACCTGGCTCTGATGACTGAACTGGTCTGGAACTTTCACTGAGGGGTTTCCGGTGGGTCTGTAAAATAGAAAATATAACAAATTAATATAATGTTTGTGAAAAAACAATACTGGAGATAAATTTTTTTTAATCTTAAAAATATCTAGGCAGTTGACTATAAAATGTGTTGATTAGATATTATATTTCACAAGCTGCTTTTCACTTGTCATTTATTTAGATTACGGATTCCCAAAGTGGTTGAGATAAGTTTACCAGTAGTTACCATTAATAAAAATTAATTTTGGGGGTCTACAAGGTCTAACAATCTACCCAAGTTCTACACAAGTTCTTATTTGAAGATCTACACAAGCTCTTATTTGAAAATTTTCAAAATACTGTATAAGTTATACATGTATCAACTTGTAAGAATGACTAAAATTTTAGTAAATACTTATTTTTTTTAAATTGATAAGTATTTTGTAAAGTAATTTGGGTATAGGAGTCTGAGCTAGAAGTTCATTTTGAAAAATGTCACCCTAGGTCAATAAGACTGCTCCCAGTGTATGGAAGTGAATATTATTATCAATGTAATAGATATAGATGAAATGAAATATCTGTAAAAATAGTATGTTTGCGGTAGGCAGCGGCTTGGCTCTGCCCCAACATTGCTGAAGTCCATGGGCGACGGTAACCACTCACCATCAGGTGGGCCATGCGCCTACAAGGGCAATAAAAAAAATCAAAATAATATTTAAATTCCATTCCAAGGGCATTCCTCTTATACTATTTTAAAATTAAAAAGAAGCAAAAAGGGGCATTTATTCATGAGTGCAGGGCCATTAATAAATACCACTGACACTGTCAATTACAAATTTTTATAACATTATTTGCTATTATTTTACCGAACCATAAGTAACAATTATTATAGAACAAAAGATATTGATACAGTTGAAATGACTTGAATTCTAAAGCCAGGTTGATTCTAATTCTAAAACCATATTTTATTAGTTATTCAAGATGCCTTTAGCTTCTACATCAGAATAGAACAGAATGAAGTCAAATCACCTCTGAGCTTGTGGAAGACTGTTCAAAGAGTACAGCACCATTGACTGGATTCAAGTATATCATGTCGCCATGACACAGTCCACAATCTCGCAGCTGTCTCGATTTGCTGGATGTGATTTCTTCCTTGCGCTGTCTGTCCTTGTGCAGAGTGAATGCGAAAGAGTTCAGATTCAGAGCTTCGTATATTCGCTCGAATAGATGCGCCGTCACATCGGAGTCCAGCACCTCCACTCGCGCTGTACCTTCGGGTGACTGAACTCGCAATAGCTGGAAAACAAACGGCAAGCCTGATCAACAATAAAAAAAATTATTATGTCCGTTTAAGGCAAGCAATCTATTATACTTTTTCCAATATTCCAATTAAGAATTATTAAAATATTCTGTTGTGAATTATTTACTTGTAAAAACCGAACCAAAAACATTAAAATAATTGAAGACATGTCAAACTAATCAACAGCAAACTCGAAATTTCTATGACTTGAAGTCTCATATTTTTTCACTGAAACAGGCATCTAATTCTCAAGAAGACAGGCTCATATGCTATGTGAGGTAATTCAGTACCATTTTTTGTGATCTAGACATCTTCTCATCAACATAAAACTGCAAAACACCAACAAAGCACTGACATAACAAATTTGACAAATCTTTGAAATCTTGTATTCCAAATACAGTGAAAAATATGTATAACGTCAATAAAAATATATCTCTGTTTAACTCGCTAAAGCGTAGAACCACAAAAACCTGTATGCTAGAAATAATTTCAGATTGTTCTACTTTTTCCGACTCTGGAACATAAACAATGACAGGACAAATATCACGCTTAAAATCGGATACACGAATAAATTAGCTAGTAGATCCAGTTTTCGATACATTTAAAATTAATTGTACCTACCTTTCTTCCAGAAAAAAAGACTGGTCTTGAGGTCTTGATTTTTTCTAAATTAATGTGAATAAAACTGCGTAGCAGCTAATAATAGTATTCTAATATTAATAAAAAATATATTCATATTGCGCCTTTGGAATTTTTGTTTTAGTTTTATAATAAAATAATTGAACGGTTAATATGTAGTAGAAAAGAAAGTGAGAAATTTTATGAATTGAAAGCTAATAAAAGATAATGAAAGGTTGTATGATTATATGATATGAAGGTATGATTCTTTTTTTATTCAAGTGTTGAGTATAAAGTTTTGTGAGGTTGTGTTTGTTATGAGTTGTCTTATGGTTTGTAAGTTGAGTTGAGTTTGACTGATTTAAGTGGGAATAGCAATACTAATTTGGAGTGTTGTTTTCTATGTTTATGTATCATGTTTATAGTGAATGAGGTTTAAACTTATTAGTAAGAGGTCCAGAAGGAGTTGAAGGTTTTTAAAGTTAAAGAGGTCGAGAAGGAGATTAAAGTTTTTAAGTGGACTTAAGGAAGTTAATTTTTATTTTTATTTTTTATTGCCTAGATGGGTGGACGAGCTCACAGCCCACCTGGTGTTAAGTGGTTACTGAAGCCCACAGACATCCACGACGTAAATGCGCCACCCACCTTGAGATATAAGTTCTAAGGTCTCAAGTATAGTTACACCTGTTGCCCCACCCTTCAAACTGAAATTCATTACTGCTTCACGGCAGAAATAAGCAGGACGGTGCTACCTGCCCGCGCGGACTCACAAGAGGTCCTACCACCAGTAATTACGAAAATTATAATTATGCGGGTTTCATTTTTATTACACGATGTTATTCCTTCACTGTGGAAGTCAATCGTGAACATGTGTTGAGTACGTATTTCATTAGAAAAATTTGTACTCGCCTGGGATTCGAACACCGGTGCATCGCTCAACACGAATGCACCGGACGTCTTATCCCTTAGGCCACGATAACTTCATGTTGTGAGTAGTCGAGAAGGAGTTAAAGGTTATTATAGTTAGACGTTTTTATGTATTGAGTAGTCGAGAAGAAGATAAAGGTTTTTTAGACGAACTTGAAGAGTTTATGTAGGGAGTCGAGAGGGTGGTTAAGGTTCCTAACGTTATAGATGAATGAAAGTACATGTTTGGTCGAATCGGAGTTGAACAAGTGAGAAAGGATTAAAGGTAGTTACATTAAAGTTGGTATTAAATTTGAAAGGTTAATTAATAGTCGTTGGTTGAATTGAGAGGGATTAAGTGGAAGTAATTGAATGTAAGTGGTTCTGAGATTTTAATGTATGTATGGAAGTAAGGTAGATATGTATGGAAGGTAATGTTTAACTTATGAAGGTCAGGTTAGTCAGTTATTTGTTTTTTGGTATATTGTATTCAATTATATACAGGGCGTTAAATGTATGCAAGTGTTGAGAGGGTGTGTTGGAGTTTATCTTTATAAATCCCTAAGATGTCTAGTTGTGTGATGTAATAGTGTACAAAGGGTTTGCAATATATATTAACCACGAAGTGTGTTTTTAAAATAGCCCCTCACGTACAGAGCCCAATCCCCTCAAATTTAAACATCCATTATTTTTTCGGGCCGTGGGCCGTACCTCCTACGAGGTCCCCTCGTCTAGGGGGCGCGCGGGGTATGTGGGACTTGACGATCTGCAAGATGTTGGGAGCAGACCGCGGGCCCAAGGAATTTTAGGGCCCACCCACTGAACGACTCCCCTGCACTCTTCGCCCAAGGGTCCGATCCCCTCCTAGTTCAGAACCCGGATGAGGTAGGGGGGTTACCGCGGTCAACACTGCAACCAGACAGCGCAGCTCACCCTAAGGATGCCCAGCCGACGGAGCCTTCGAGGCGAATCGAAGGCTCTGAAACGTCGGCCGTCTCGGTACGGCAGCCCGTCGGGCCGCCCAGACGGTTCCGCTGGTGTCCCGGAATACCCCGCTTGATCAGAACCTGCCTGTCGCGTCGGGACCCGATACACCGCCAACCGGTTGCTCTTTTGTATCTCCTTGGCGGCGCGCTAGAGTGCTGGTAGCGCGGCACGCAGCCTCTACCTCCTCAGATCGCCCCTTGACCTTCACCGGGGGGAAGCCGCCATCTACAGGGGCTGGGACGTACGGGCGTAATCCCTCATCCGGCCCCCGGCTTGATGGCGACGGATCGGTGCGGAAAGGGAAGAGCTCTCTCGTTCCGCCGCCTTCTTCTGGGATATGGTGGACTCGCAGAAGTCGAACATCGCCTTCCATGACTGGTCGCTGCCGAACATCGCAGAAACGACGCGCGGCAGCGAGAGGTCCTCTCCATATTTTACCCTCCAACAGAATCATTCTTTTTTTAGATTTCCACCACCATATCCCCACCCATAACTCCACCATTTTGAAAGTTTTCCAATAAATTGAATTAATACAAAATTCCATATTGTATGGAGCCTACTTACAAAATATCTATATAAATATAATTTGTATAAAATATAAATATAAAATATACAAAATATAAATATAATTTGGCAGAAATTCGGTTTAGAAATGCGGGTTCTAGAGAATAGCCTTATATCCACCGAACATATGAAACCATTTTTGCCCAAGCTGAAACCGAGACTCCTTGCTCGCTTGGTAAACTATTATTTTATGGTATGCACAAAGTAGGATCGTATATAAAAATACATCGTTAGCTGCGATTGAATAACTAATTTAGAAATTTTACCAATTCAATAGCCGGTAGTTAAACAAACATCGATTAAATGCTGATCTTAATTAATGATATCTAGTTTTGAGAAGCAGTGCTACCACTAATTGTAATAGTTTGAGTCAAGTTCATATCTCTAGACTTTTATCTCCTAGATTGTAGGTACTTTTTATTATTATCTATGACTTTTGACAAGTCAGCTAAAGAAATAGAAACAAGTTGAAAAAAAGGTACCGTACAATGNGGTAGGTAGGTACCTACCTTTAAATTAACTTCACATGTTTACTTCCTTAAAAATTAAGTGTAATTATACGTTTACTTCAAATATTACTAAAATGCTAAAAGAAATTATATAAAAGTAGTAGTGTACCAACATTCGCAAACTTTGTAAAAGTATATACTTAAAAATGTAATTTAATGAATATGCTGATTCTAATGTAGTGTGTAGATAAACACGTCTCGCAAAAAATCAATAACTAAGATTATGTAGTTAATATTGAAATAATTTTTAATAAACAATGGAATAGAAGGGTATGTAACGGTATTTGTCTCAGTTGTCTACGGTTTAATTTTATTTAGAAATAGATGTTAGTTCCCGCTCGCGCAACGGGCTGCGCAGGCTTATCTTGTGCTGTTGCATCGCTGCATTCAATACGCGCATACAAATTGCAATCGATAAATCAGAATAAAATAATTTAGAACTAAAATAAATGTAGGTGTATATGTATCTTTACAAAACATACAAATTCCTAGTGAATTAGTATTTGTTGTGATTATTATAAAATTATAAGTGAGATTGTAAATTCCCAATTTGATTTTTTTTTATTTTTTTATGCAGCGAATATTTCATATTGCGATAAGCAGTAGCATAGATAAAAGAGGTGTTCCATGTGTGTGAAAATGATTAGGATTTTCTATGCAATAGATCTAGATAAATAAATTGTGTGAAAATAGCATCAACATTACATGTAAAATGGCCCAATTACCACTACCACAAATAAGTGTAAAATGGGAAAGTTTCATCTCACCCTTTTTTTTTCATTAACCTTGCATGCATACCACCTACCTGATGATGAGTGGTTACTGTCGCTCAAGGACATCAATTATACTAGGGGCAGAGCCAAGCCTCTGTCTACTTTAGACTCCTATGCTTACTAATATTTTTATATTTATTTTCTATTGCTTGTATGAGCTCACAACCCACCTGGTGTTAAGTGGTTACTGAAGCCCATAGACATTTACAACGTAAATGCCGCCACCCACCTTGAGATATGATTTCTAAGGTCTCAGTATAGTTACAACAGCTGCCCCATCCTTTGAACCGAAATGCATTACTGCTAAATGGCAGAAGTAGAACTGACATCATGTAGAAATATGGGCATTGTTCTCTTGTTACTTCATAACTACTTTAACATTGAGTACAGTTGTAAACTTTTTGATTACTTTTTGAAGATTTTAAGTTGGAATAACAGGGTAAAATATGAAATAATAAAGTATTTTTATATTTTTTGTACTATAAATATTAGACATTAAATTTTGTTCTAAATTCATATTTTTATATAAACTTTCAGAAAATGACATAAATCTACTTTTAGTCTGATTGTGAGACAAATGAAAATTATAAAATAGATAAAAACAGTTTGTATATGANACTTTTTGAAGATTTTAAGTTGGAATAACAGGGTAAAATATGAAATAATAAAGTATTTTTATATTTTTTGTACTATAAATATTAGACATTAAATTTTGTTCTAAATTCATATTTTTATATAAACTTTCAGAAAATGACATAAATCTACTTTTAGTCTGATTGTGAGACAAATGAAAATTATAAAATAGATAAAAACAGTTTGTATATGAAAAGTAAGTTAAAATTTATGTGGATGGTTACATACTTTAGTATGTATGAATGAAGAGTATGAAATATATTTGAGTATAGTATAACATATATTTCAATGTATAGCGTACTGGTGCATTTTGTTGCAGAACGATTTGTAAAGTAACATGGCTTCAGATACTTCAGCTGTTGTTGAACTCTACATTTATGA